ATGTTGTCATTAGTCGTTCGTTGTTGAGCATTTGTGAATGCAGCGGCTGCCAGCTAAATGGCCTGACCCAGATTTGTCAAGCCATATTTGGCTCTAACTAAAATATATCATGTCTACCCAGTTCTTGTAGAAAGAAGAATCTGCAGGCTTTTTGAGTCACATCACTTATTTAAACAGAAAAAGGGCTTACTGGGATGAGAAACAGATATGAAGAATCTTCTATTTTTGTTTTTAGTTTATCTTTTTGAATAGGTAATATATTTATGTGGTTCAAAAAGCAAAGTATATGTAGTGGTCTACATTGTTTCCTTCTCACCCCTATCCCTATCCCCTACCATCTCATTCCCCACACCTTCTCATCCCACTAATAACCATTTTTACTAGTATTTTTTTCCTTTTAATGTTTATTTATGCAGATGGGAGTAAATATGAATGTTTTCTTATTCCTCCCTCCTCTGCCTGCTTACACAAATGGTAGCATATGACACACATCTTTCAGTACCCTGCTTTTTTTTTCACATATATGCTGGAGATATTTCTATACCAGTACATAATGACCTCTTTTGTTTACAGTTGCATTGTATTCCAGCATGTATAGGGTCCATAGGTTATTTAACCAGTTTCTTATTAATGTTACATAGACTATTTCTAATCTTTTGCTGTTACAAAAATGTTGTAATGAATACCCTTAAACACAGAAGGGAAAATTATTTTAGACTTGTACAAGTAAGAGTGGATTAGAGCATTAAACAGAAAGAGCCTGAAGATATTTGGTTGAGGTATTTGCATATGACCCAATTTTGGGCCATGAAACTGGAAGATGAGTCTGCTGGGGGGATTTTGGAAGAACAGAGTTGTGGACCTCTTTTTTAAATTTGTGTGCCAAGAATTGGTATCTTAAATATCTGCCCAGTTCTCCTAGTTTTGCCAGAGTTGGGACCAGAGAGCAGTCCCTGCCATGACCCAGCCACAGCTACTTCATAGCAGGCACTTGGGCAGGTAGTCCTTCAAACAATTGTTCTTTCAATATTTGTTTAATTTTTATATAGTGGAGATGGGGAGAAATAGATTTTCTATTAATACACTTTGTTTACTAAAACCAAATTAACCCTAATTCATTCCCACTAGCTGAAGCAGAGTCAGTATTCTGAAACATCAGCCAAATAGTTCACTTTTCCCATAGCTCCTGTTCTCTTTTCAAGTTCTCCTTCATTATTTTTTAATCAGACCAGTTCTTTAGAGGCAAACTGAGGGGCTTATAATTTAGGTAACACAAAAGATCACACTTACCGGCTAAACAGCACTACTCACAGATTATTTGGTTTTAGAATGTCCATTCTGCTGCCTTTCATTTCAGGCATTTCATTCTGCTTGTGGATACTGCAGAAAAACTCGCTAGGGATAGGCCTACATTTTTGTTGTTGTTGTGTGTTGTGGAGTTTTTGCTATTGTTTTGTTTTCTAAATTTCCCCTCAAGTCAGTAGTTTGGAGGACCAATTTCCATTTTGTCAATTTGTTCCAGTGATGGCATCACCTGGATCAGTGCCCCACAACAGCTAAACTGGCTGCTGATCTTCCTAATGTGGTTCTGGGTCACAAATTAAATACAAGATAAGCACTGAGAGTGGAATACAAAGTGCTGTGGAGTACAGAGGAAAAAAACAATGTTGTTTTGTGGTAGTTTGTATAGTGAGAGAAAGTATGAATTTTACAGCCAGAAAACAGACCCAGCTATATAATTGGAGGAGACCTGCACAAATCAAATGGATGGCACAAACAGTTTACAGTTGCCTATTAACCTAAAGATTGGTGGTTCAAACCAACCAACACCTCCTACCCCAAGAAAAACATGACAGCCAAGAAAATCCTATGGAGCAGTTCTGCTCTGTAACACGTGGGCTCACCATGAGTCAGAATCAACTCAACAGCAACGGGTTTTTGGTTTCGCACAAAATTAAAATGTGCAGCCCCTTGTTAAAAAAAATTATGAAGAACTGAAGAATTTCAAGAAAACAACAGCAGAGCATTAAACCAAGAGAGGGCCCTCTGCAACGACAGATTGCATACCCATGAATCCTGCCTTGCCAGGCAGGCGTGGGTTCAAATCTCATCCCTGCCACTGCAAATCTCCATGCTACTGGGCAAGTCACTTACTCTCTCTGACTCTCACTTTTTTCATCTGTAAAAGAGTGGTAACTGAACCTCCCTTGAAGAATTGATATGACGATGAAATGAAAAGCACTTGACAACTCGTCGGCACACATTCCTCTTATTTCTTGGTCTATGTTGTGGGCTCTTCTTCCTCAGTTGTTCTTTAGGAGTCCATCTTTAACCCTCTATCCTCATTACTCACCTTCCTTTTTAAAATCTTTCAAAAGTGTACTAGACCGAGCCTTTTGAAATTGCCCCTCCATTTGTGACATACATAACGGCAATTTTATATGGTTCAAGCAAATACAAACTCAGCATAGCTTTGAACAGTACCATTCTTAGACCCAGCAACTGGAACCCGTCTTTTGCACCCACGTTTTAGAGCACACGTGCCTCTGCTCCCATCTTCTCCACCGCTTCCCCCTCCTGCTGCCGCATCCTTCACCAAACAAGGAGTTCTCGGTCCAAGTCAGGTTCTAGACCACACACTTGTACCTAGGACTGCAGTATTCCCTGCCCAAACAGCCCTCAGCCTGCTTCCAGGACCCTCAAGTCTCTGCTCAGGGGCTTCTTCCCTGCAGCCAGTGCGTAAAACTGGCGTCCCAGGGCCCACCACCTGGTAGCTATTGGGGCAGGTGGGCGGAGTGGTTAAAACCACGCATGCGTAACTGTCCCCTCACAGAGCCGACCTAGGTAGAACGGAAGTCTACGGCCCCTATTTGAGCTCTCATCCTTATGTAAATACAAGGCCTGTCTTTCAAGGCCTGTTACACCTGTGGCCTCAACCTATTCTTCCAGTTTTATATGCAGCCACGCCTCTCCGCACCTCCCCCCTACTACTTGATTTCCCCAAATATTCTGGGCATTAAAAAAAAAAAAAACTATGCCTTTCTACATTATACAGTCTCAAACCTTTCTTTTTTCTACTCGATGAATTTCTACTAATTCTTTAAGAACCTATTTATATGTCAATTTCTGTATTGTCATCCTTGGCAATCCTCCCCACCATCCCAATCTTCATCCCCAGGCAGAGTTAGATGCTGTTTTTTTCCCAAGATCTCATAACACCCACTGAAGACGCCCCACACTGTATTGTAATTGTTTTTTCCCCCTAGACTAGGCTGTATGGAGACTTTTCCAGGGCAGAAAACATACTTGTTCATGTTTATTCACAGCGGCTAGCCCAGTGCCTGATACCCAGTACAGAATCAATAAATCTTTTGAGTGTGGTATTTCCACTGCCATTGAGTTGATTCCGACTCATAGCAACCCTATAGGGCAGAGTACAGCTGCCCCATAGGGTTTCCAAGGAGCAGGAGCAGTTGGTGGATTTGAACCGCCGACCATTTGGTTAGCAGTCGAGCTCTTAACCACTAGGCCATCAGGGCTCCTGAGTGTTGGGTAGTCATAAAAATTCCTGCTGCCCCAGTGACTAAGTGGACTTGAGATAATTACTGAATTCCAGTTTCCTCTTCTTTAAAGTAGGAATGAACATTATACCTTCTTGAATAGCCCTAAGGATTAAATAAAACAATCCATCCGCTTCCGCGCAATGATAAATAGCATGGGCTCAATAAGAGAAAGCCATGATTGAATTAGCGCCTATATTCTGATTCTTGGTAACCTGTAAGAGGAAGTAAATAGTCCTCTGAAATCAACAACATGGTTTCTATTTTGATGAGAAAAATTTAGTATTTAATAGCAAAATCTTAATAGAAGTGTGAGAAACTAGGTTTAAAAATGCCTGAATTAAATTACACTTGCTTGGAAACTGTTTATTAAAAAGGCACCAAATAATATTTTTAAATAAATTCAAATTATTATGTAACTCTTGGCACTCCTGGCCCCAAATGCGTGAGAAAAATTCTATATTACAATCTATTTTGAAAGGTATTCATAATAATGTCTATATATCAAAAACTAAAAACAGGGAAATAAGGTAGTATAAAGTATATTTTTATAACTACCTCTTTTAGAACTTTACATAAATATACAAAAACTATGCGTTTTTATAACTACATATTTAGGTATACCTACAAAAATGTTGTAAGTATACGTATATGTATTCAGCTTATTCTTTTAAAAAGGAAAAAAATAATTGCAAGAAAAATGCTAATAAAAACAGAAAACAATTGCTATGAGTTGCTAGATGGATCATACCCAGTCTGCTGACTTGTTACTACGAATTGGAGCCTTTTGTCTATCAGCATATTGTGCAATATTAAATGAAACTACTGATATTTGCATTATTGCTCACCTAAACCCTGCCTTTATTAAAGAGAAAACCAAGAAAATGGAATGTGATCTAAGCTTCCAGGAAAGATAAAAATTGGCTGACTTCACTTATCTGAATCTTATTGCTTATATAGAATCACTATAATAAAGTTTGTCTGCTTTAGTAAAGGACTTAATGATCTCAAACTTTGTTTTCCAACATAAAAAATAAGATACTTCTGGTAAGGCAGCTGAAGCAAGCAATTGTTTAGGCAGTTGCAAAATCACTTATTTCTGCAAGGTATCCAGTTTATTATTATGCTATTATCTGTTATAGTATACAATCTCAACTACATGAGATTATAAGCCTACCTATCTTCAAAGGTCAATTGTACTTTTTTTTTTCCAGAACAGCATATCTCATTGCACATTTAAGATTAACTGAAATCACAGAAGCTACTAATTTAAAATCTTAGAATATATGAAGATATTTGAGATTGAGAATAAACAAGTTATGGCTACTGACAGAAAACTCAGGAAGATTTCAAAGGCACAGAAGGAAATCTGGTAAATCTTGTGTATTCTAGGTGGTAGAACTAAACATTAGTGTTAGCCTTACAACAATAACAACAATCTCATAGTAAAGTAGCTTTTGAGTTGCCTTTTGTGCTTAAAATTATAATAAATACAATATCATTTTTTACTCTTGACATAAGGTTAAGGCACAAATATTCACATTCTAAATGAGAGGCCAGAGGAAGCAGAAGCTTCCTTATGGAAAGAGATGACGGAGTTTGGCGTTGAGTTCTCTCTCCTTGCTTAAAAGATCCAGGCTGTGCTTTTTAAAGGCTTCAGACTGCAGCCTGAGTTCATCATAGGCCTTCTGGATTTCATTCACCCTGCGCTGAAGCTCTCGGACTCTCAAGTTGCTGTCCACGGCCACTGCCTCTTGCTCAAACCGCTCTAGGGCATGCCTCCTGGCCATATCTGCTGTTTCCAGCTTCTCCTCAAGCTGTCGGATCTCTGCTTGCTTGCTCTGAAGCACCTTGCCCCTCTCCATGGACAGCTGCAGCAGCTCCTCTTTCTCGTGGGTGACGGTCTGCAGCCTGGTCTGCAGCTCCTGGCTCAGGCTGCTATGTGCCTCCTCAGCCTTTGCCATCTGCTCCACAGCCTCCTGGTGCTGCTGCTTGAGGCTCTGCAGCTGGCTGTGCAGCTGCTCTGTCTCCTTGGTGTGGATGCAGGCCTGCTGGCTCTGCAGCTCCAGCAGCTCCTTCTCTCGGGCCTGTGCCTGGCTGGCATCCTGAACACACCTCTGTTTCAAGGTCTCCAGTTCCTTGGCGAGGATCTCACTTCGGGTGGTGAGCTGCAATACTTTGGCCTCCTGGTCCTTTAGAGCCTGGCTGAAGAGGTTGCTGTTCTCCAGTCTCAGCTTTTCATTCTCCTCCCTCAGCTTGACATTCTGCTGCTTATGCTCATCCTTGAAGCGGATCATTAACTCGTGGTTGGCTGCCAGAGTCATAAAGCGTTCCTCCACCTTCTGGGCCTGCTCAGTCTGGGCCTTCAGCTTCTCAGCCTCCTCCATCCTCTTCTCCTCCAGCTCTGTGTTGAGCAGCTCCAGGATTTGGCAGCGCTCCAGGGCCTCATCTGACCTCCGTTTCAGGATGCAGATGAGCTGGGACTGCTCTTGGATGCGGGAGCGAAGCATCGCCTTCTCACTCTTCTCTTCCTCAGACAGTCCCCGGAGGTTTGCCAAGGCTTCCTTCAGACCATCCAGTTCCTTAAACTCCAGCTCCTCTTCCTGGTTTTGCAATTTGTCATCTTTCTTATCTAAGGGTTCTTCTGTGGACTGGAGAGACGTGTTCATCTGGAGAGCCTGCTCTTCCTGATGCATAGGCACTCTCCTCCACTAATGGCTGATGACACAGTCTTTCCCCTCAGGTTTCAAAAGCTGCAGGATGTTGCCAGGGACTCCTGGCACTCTCTAGCAGTTGGTTTTTTCCAGTAAAGAGCCTTGTGATTGGTGGACAGGTCTTCAGAATGCTGTGAAGTAACAACAGGGAGACCAGGCTGAGCCCAGAGTCAGTCTGATCAGGCTGTGCTTGGCTTTCTAAATCAATCACAGCTCTCGGCTCACAGCCTAGTGTCTGGCCTATACAGTACAGAGAGGCCAACCCCACTCAATTTCCAGCCAGCATCAGGGGAAGAAACCGGACTCCAGTTAATTTCTGGTAGTAGTAAACAAATCAAACCGGTGGTGCTATCTTCCTCTTTTCTCTCCCTCCTTCAGTTGCCACCAGAATAAATCACTGTCTGTGGAAACACAGTTGGCTCTTCAAATATATGTAATCTATGAATATAAAGTAGCAGTGGTACCCTGAGAGCCAGGAGCCTGGATAGCTGTGTGTCTGTACCTGTGGTGTTTGGCACAGCTCGGTTTTGTTTAGCTCAAATTTATTGTCTCAGTTCTGGAGGCTAGATGCCTGAAATCAAGGTGTCAGCAGGGACATGCTCCTTCTGAAGGCTCTAGGGGAACATTTTCTCTTGCCTCTTCCTAGCTTCTGGGGGTTTGTGGGAATCCTGGACGCTTCTTGGCTTGTGGATGCATCATTCCAATCTGGCACACTCAGTTTTAATATTTAAATATTGAAACAGACAGCAAACCAATGAAATGGCTTTTGTTTCCCCTAGCATTGTCCCCATCTGTGAATAAATAGTCTCTATTAGGTATCTGACAATCCCTGTTTTTATCCACTAACAAAATAAGGTTATACTATAAAGAGGCTTGATGAACAACATAGATGTAGTAAACATTAAAACAGAAAAAAAATTCAAGAGGCTTACTATATCATATACCAAAGGAGGATTAAATAGTTGAATATAAAGAATAAAATAAAATAAAAGTATTAAAAATTAAAAACTTGAAGAAAATAAAGGTAAGCATCATATCTCTGGCCAAGAAGGACTTTCTTAGCTTAAAAATATATATGAGATCAGAAAGGAAAAACTTGAATCAATTTGACTTCACGGAAAATCTAAAGTTATGTATAATTTAAAAAGTTATGTGGCCTCTGAGGTCTCTAGTCTCCCCTCCTTATAGACCTACCTGGCATTTTAATCCCTAGCCAAACCCAACTCTTGAAGTTCTTCCAACCAACCAGCTCTCTGGCCCTGTCTATGGATGTTCCCTCTGCCTAGAACACATTTTCCCACCTTGTCCCTTGTTACTCTACCAATTTACTCATCTTTTTATACTTAGTTAAGAATCATCTCCTCTGTAAAGCCTTTTATGACCCCATATGTAGAACTGACAACTTTTTTTAGTTCGTCCAGTATAGCCTATTCATACTTCTAGCGTAGCACGTGAAAGCTTTATCGCATTTACTTGTTTACCTGGCTTCCTCCCCTTTTAGACTATGAGATCATTAAGGGCAGGAACTATGTCTGTTTCATCCTTGATGATTAGACCAATGCCTGGCACATTGGAGAGGCTCAGATAAATGTGTGTGGAATGAATGCTGAAGGCAAACATCAAATTGAGAAAAATATCCACAATAAATATAACAGACAATTGATTTGTATTTTTATAAAGAGCCCATACAAATCAAGAAAACACTTAACATCTCAAAAAAGAAATGAACAACTTCACAAAACAAGGAACAGAAATGACAAAGAATTGAACCTCACCAGTGATTCAATAAATACAAGTTAAAAGAAGATATCATTTCATATATTAGTCAAGAGTTTTTTTCCCCCCCTTTTTAAGACTACCCTGGCCTGGTAAAGATATAGTGAAATAGGTAGGGCTCTGGATCGGTTCCTCCCAGTTCAATCATGGCTGAGTAAGTGACACCAGATGACACCTAAATTTTTAAAACTTGAATGAACCGGAACCATAACAGGAACAGGAAAAATTTCAGGTCAAAGCCCTGCTAGAAAGTTAATTTCCCTCTTAGAAAACAAGGGCAGCATATGTGTTGCATAGTAACCAAATCTCTTGCCGGTTGGATTTTGTGCAGAGTCGGAAATAGCAGTGCCCTGCTCAAAGTGGCCAACCACGTCGCTTTGGATGTGTGTTGCTCTCCTCAGTCCTGGCAATAATCCAATCTCATACATCTGGCTCCTGAAAGGGCTCACTATACCTCTTCCAAGTCTCCCATTCCAGGGCTTCAGTCTGTAATTTTTCCTATTTCAGTTAGGTTCTAGATCACCTAAATTTTAAAAATTTGGTTCTGTTCCAGTTTCGGTTAGTTGGCCATAACTGAACCAGCCTGAACTGGTTTGAAGCCCTCGAGATAGGCAGACAGGCACTCTCTTATACAGTTGGTCAAAGTTAGTTGACAGTACATATTGAGAACTTAATGCCTTTTGAACTAGTAATTGCCCTCTGGGGGAATCTTTGATCGGGAAATAATCTGAAAGAAAAAGTTTTTTATTGCAGCATGATTTTTAAAAAAATAAAAGTTGAAAACGTTAATGTCCAAAACAGGGAGAATGTTAAGATTATGATGTAGCCATATGACAGAATATAAAATTACCATGTTTGTAGATAATTTTTTTAATGGCATGGAAAATGAAATGCTAGAAAGGTAACTGGAAAAGGTAAGATATAAAACTAAAAATTCAGAATGGCCTTAATGATGTAAAAACTTAAGCACAGAACAAGGAATTGGTTGTTCCTGAGATCATGGTTTCTGGTGGGCAGGCTTTCCTTTTCCCGAGTCGTGATGGTAAGGAAAAAGCCTGGATATCATTACACACATTGGATGGATTTTCAGTGTTTCAGATTTCACTGGGGGCAGACTAGATCTGAAAGAAGAGTTTCATACTTTCCCTAAAGTCTCAAAGATCAGGGTCTCATCTCTCAAATCCTGACTGTATCATCTATACAGGAAAAGCAAGGCTGAAAACTAGGCGGAAATTACCTGAACTGAAATTTTAACATTTTCAAAGAAGCTCACTTAAAAGATAGGATATTGGGGTTTTGTGAAAGTGAGTTCCAAAGACTTGAAAAATATGAATTAAACTTATTTTGTAATTTTTCTTCATTTCTCTTCATTTTTCCTTAAATTGCAAGTTTCAAATGGCACTTGTAAAGCCAAGGCAAATGACTAGAAAATTAGAATGGTCCTTTTGATTTAAATAAAAAAGACAAACATATATTAACATTGTTATTTACTGATTACCATATTTGGTTGTCTGATGTAATAGAGTGAATTCATAGAATATACTTCCTATGAAAAGAAAAAGACACCAAAAATACTCAAACTATTCACAGCGGTTGTTTCTTTTGTTTATCTAGGTTATATATCTATTGATATTTACCATATTAGAAACTGAGACTGACAAATTTTTGTTTATGTTGTTGTTACAGAGTAGAACTGTGTAGCAGTTGTTTCTTGAAGATGAGATTATGGATGCTTTCCTTCCTCCGTTTCTTCCTTTCTAAGTCCTTTGTACAGAGTGGATGCTCAATGATACTTGTTGATTAGATAAATTGATTTTCCACATTAAAAAAAAAAAGTCTATATTTCTCTTATATTAAAAATTATTTAAACATTAAATCTATAGATTACTTATAAAGGCTGAGAATTTCACAAGATCCTAATCAATATTCATTAATTATTCAAATATTTGCAAGATATGGTGATAGATGCTAAATATACACTAATGAACTAGACACCATCACTCTCCTCCTCATTACAGTTTAGTAATCACTTCTGGCTCCTCTGTACCTTGGTCATTTTCTTGGTTCAACCATTTTTTTCCAGCTACCTTTGATCCTGAAAGTATCTGGTATATTCTTTTCCCAGAGGTCTAAGGCATACAACTTGGTCAATGCCCCCTCTAGTGGTAACCAATGAGTCTCCTCCACTTTCCTTCATGAAGTCTTTCAATGCCTCATTTTGTTTATAAACTACTATTTACAGAGTCCTGGATAGCACCAGCCCATAGAAACAGAGATGTTAACAGGAAGCCAGAGGAGCAACGATCTGAAACCTGACCTCACATCCTGACTGAGGTACTGTGGGTGGGAGAAGAGGGAGCAGTCTGCTTTTCATAAGGCTGAAGGGCAGCCAGTTCTTTTGGAACAAGTCAACTAAAGAACTGGGGGGAATATTCTGTGATTGGGTAGAGTACGTGGGGGCATGTGTTTTCTGAAACAAATTAGTGAATAAGCCTGGGAGGGAACGGGAACAGAAGAGGGGATGAGAGAGTAATCCCAGAGCAAAATGGGAATGAAAATACAGGAGAAGGCAGATGGATGATCAGGAGGCTTTTTACTTGAGTGGTGAGTATGGATGACAAGGATGGGCAAAGAAATTCAAGCAAATATCCTGGTAAACATAGCTTAGAATGCTAGTTCTCTCTGGAAGAAGTTAGCTGTGGCTAACAGTAATCATGCTTTTGGTGGACTCCTAGGCCACGTAAATAGGCCATGCATGGTGTTCTCCCAAGATCTTACCATCTACTTAGAAGCTGCAGCAGTTATGGTGGATGGGGTGGGGTGGGATTTAGGCTTCTTTGGAAAGAATCAGCCATAGCCCTTTGAAATATTACTTCATTTTTCAAATAATGGAATTTTGAAAATTTTTCATTTAAGGGAGATGCAAGTAGGGTGGCTGCCCAGCTCCTGATTTCTCCAGTGTCCATGTCTATAAAACACCCTGTTCTTCTGATAATGGACCCCCTCACCCTGGCCACAGAGGTGGGCACATAATCCAGGCTGGGTCTATCAGAAGATCTTACTCTACCTACGCCTGGTCACAGTGAATGGTGCAAGGGTTGATGTGACCCAAGCATTGCCAGTTTCACTCACATTTCTCAAGCTGAACCTAGGAAAGAGAAGTGGTTTAGCTGAGAGGTTGTAATACTAGAGCTGCCTGTGGTGTTACTTCCTACTCCACAAGAAGATGAGAAACTAGACAATGCTGCAGCATTTGAGTTCTCAGTTCCAGTATGAGGCCCCAGAGTAATTTAGGTTCCTGCATCACTTCTTCAATTCTGTGAAACAACCCACTATATTTCCAATAAACTCTCTTTTTGGCTTACTTCCAGCTGGGTGTCTATCATTGGCAACTGAAATAAAGTGCTAACGTGCAGTTCTAGGAAACGCCTCTAGTTAAAGAAAATATGCTTTTAAGTTTTAGCAGGACCTTTGCCTAAAAGTCCCATTGGCTAAAAACCAGTCAACCTGAGTTCACTAAGGAATTCATGTTGCCTACATTTTATAATGTGTAATGGTCACACCAAGCCTTTCTCTTGTACCTGGATGAGATTAAATCTACAGTTTGCATTTTCTTTTTCAGCAAAAAATGTGACATATAATCTCCTTGGACTTTCTGAGGCAGCTTGCTTCACAAGGAATTAGGGCACTTGGGAAGTGCTATGGACAACCTTTCTTACAAATGCAGATGCAGGAAGGGTAGTTCTATTGTCCACTGTGTTTGGAAGGTGAGGGGTCTGGGGATGGAAGAAGGCAGGCAGTCTTGGTTCTGGGTGGAGGATACCAGAACCAGTCTCATTACTACTCCAGAATTGACAGGATGCTGGGAGGTGGCTGAGCAGGTAAATGACAGTAGCACTTAGAAAGTAGCTTGTATTGTTACCTGGCATGAACCAGGACAGGGTTCATGCTTCTGCTACTGTTCCAGGACAGCCTTGGAGGTGGGCCTCTACTCAGCTCATCTTGCCCCTCCCTGCAGTCAGAGAAGAAAGAGGGAACAGAGACAGACTGAACATCCCCTAAGGGACCTTGGGAAACCAGGGCAAGAGTACTGTTCTGGGTTCATCCCTGTTACTGCAAAGTGGGTAGGGGGCTCTAGCAGCTCTTTGGGGGAGGAGGTAATGCTTTTCATGACATTTGTTAGATGCCTGGTTATAAAGATCCATGCTCTCCCACCATCTGGGTTTCTCCTAACCTACATTAAATCAGTGCCTGTTTGGAGAAAGGCAAGCTAGTTAGGACCTAAGGGGAGCCATGTGTTATAGAGCAAAATAACCTAAAAAAACCTCCATGGAAAACCTTTCAGTTTACATTTCCTCCATAGCTTTTCAACTACTTTTTAAAAAAAATCAAAATTCTACTGTTAGTAATTTAGCCAAAGCTGTCCTCTAAGGAGAAATGATGCACAGAGCTGTATGTAGTAAAGACTCTCAAGAAATATTAGTCAGAGGAATTTCTCCAGCCTTGCTAGGGAATTTACATTTTAGCACTTCTAACATAAAATAAAGGAGCCCTGGTGGCAAAGTGGTTAAAGCCCTTGGCTGCTAACTAAAAGGTTGGTGGTTCAACCCACCAGCTGCTCCATGGGAGAAAAATGTGGCAGTGGGCTTCTGTAAAGATTTATAGCCTTGGAAACCCTATAGGGCAGTTCTTTTAATAAAAATAAGAATTCAGGCTAATTTTTCAATTTAAATCATATAATAATTTATTCTAAGGGTTCTTATAAAATACTTTTATGAAAATTATACATACATAGGAAGTACAGTCTAATTTTGCAATTTACATTCTAATTAAAACTTTGTTGCAAAGCATATCTGTGACTACTCTTATTCTGCTTTCATACAGTAAAGTTATAAGAAAAACAATAATATCTGAGTTTTTTTAAACATATTCTATTATAAGATACAGGCTTGAGACCTAATTTAGGATAGAATTAAGCCAAAACAAGCCAAGAACCGAATTCCATCTGTGGCCAGTAGGTGGCACCAAAGCACATTTTAGACTTAAACACATGGGAAAGGGGAAAGCAGTTTTTCAAGGCAGAAATACATGCAATAAATTCAGTCTCATAGCCTTAACATAGAATTTAATACCTTAATAGATATTATAAATAGTCTTCTTAAGGCAAAACTCTTTATCATCACTGATGTTCTGCCTTTTTTTTTCGTTAAGACTATCTTCTGTCACTCTTTTCCACAATCTACTTATTTACAACTCCTGCAAGTGTTTTCATTGACCAAGTGGTAGGCCCTTCTCACTGTAGCACAAGGCTGTTGTGTGAAACACATGATAACAAATTAGAAAATTTTGCTTGTTAACAACACCCTACATTTAATATTTTTGGCAGCAGAAACAGTTTGATTTTCTTAACTGGAACATATATCTTTAATGTTGGAATTACAAGTATGTTACATTTAAATTTGTCATTATTTAAATTCCTTGGGCCTTGTAACCAAAAAAGCACATGCAGGTTGATTTTAACATGCTATGTAATATTCTTTAACAGACAGAGAGTGAGTATCTCTGTCCACATAGTTAGATTTTTAAGATCAGTTTCCACTTGTTTGGATGTTTTCAGTGGAGGAGCCAGTGGACTTTGGGCTCATTTGGAAATCCCGGCAATCAGCAGCGTCCTGAGGGGCAGTGTTGCTTCAATCCAAGTATTGGGGGAATCTACCATCTTCTTCCAGAGAGCAACTTCCTCTGAAGTAGAGTCCATCCAGTCTACTTCCGTACCATAGCTTTTACCTGAAAAAATACAGTTTTGCATTTAGAAAGGAATATCTCATTGGAGGGGGCGGGAGGAATTGTCATCCCGAAGTATAATTGTCAATGGAAGACAACTAGGCAGAGTTTTAACATCACCAGGAGGGAATGTGGGACTCAACATAAGAAAATGGTTAAGAGCTACAGCTACTAACCAAAAGGTCAGCTGCTCTTTGGAAACCCTATCAGGCAGCTTTACTCTGTCCTACAGGGTCGCTGGGAATCGGAATCGACTCGACTGCAAAGGGTTTGTTTCTTTATGATGTCCAATGATGGGGAATCTCATTATTGGGATAACTTCCATTACTCCTAGAGTAATGGCTTCTCCACATTAATGGAAAGGCTAGATGACACTCCATCAGGGGCATAGGAGAGTGAAGAGGATTCCTGGATTGAGTCGGAGGTGATACTAGAAGATCTCTAAAGAAGTGTGGTTAAAGCTTCGTGTTTTAAAGACTCAAGTTCTAATCTTGGCTCTGCCACTTACTAACTCTGTTACTTAATTTCTTGAAATATCAGTTTCTCTTCTGTAAAAAGTAAATAACATTCATTAGTAACTACCTCATAAAGTGGCAGTGAGGGTTTGTCATGGATTGAATTGTGTCCCCTCAAAATATCTGTCAACTTGGCTAGGTCATGATTCCCAGTATTGTATGATTGTCTATCATTTTATCTTCTGATGTGATTTCCCTATGTGTTGTAAATGCTATCACTATGATCTAATAAGATGGATTAGCGGCAGTTATACTGATGAGGTCTACAAGATTAGGTAGTGTCTTAAGCCAATCTCTTTTGAGATATAAAAGAGAGAAGTGAGCAGAGAGACAGCGGGACCTTGAACCACCAAGAAAGCAGCACCAGGACCAGAGCGCGTCCTTTCGACCTGAGGTTCCTGTGTTGAGATGCTCCCAGACGAAGGGAAGACTGATGACAAGGACCTTCCTCTGGAACTGACAGAGAAAGAAGGCCTTCCCCTGGAGCCAGTGCCCTGAGTTTGGACTTGTAGTCTACTAGACTGTGACAGAATAAATTTCTCTTTGTTAAAGCCATCCACTTGTGGTATTTCTGTTATGGCAGCACTAGATAACTAAGACAGGATTAGATGAAATAATGCAAATACAGCACTTAGCACCATGCCTAGAACATAGCAAGTGCTAAATAATTATTATTCAAAGTGCAATTTTAGCCTTGAAGTGCCATAATTTTTTTGTGGCAGGAGGAGTGAGTAGTGATGAACATTTTTCTGTTTCCTCCCACAATAACATAAGTTCTGTTGGACAGACCCTGCACCCTGTTAATCTTCATATCTAAAGCCCTCGGTACACAGCCTGATATTCCTTCACTTATTTCACTACATTTAACAGAGATAGGACATCTGTTTTCATTAGGAAGAAGAAAAGCAACAAACAAACAAATATCTAGTGTCCCCAAAAGAATTTGGCTCGTGAAGAATTAAATATACATAACAAATATTACCTGTTCCAAAGCCAATCCGAAGACCTCCCAAAAACTGGTTGGTCAATTTGTAATGATCCCAGACAGTAAGCTCAACACAGGCTTCAGTCAGATCTTCAGGCCTGAACCCATCATAGACCATGGTGTGGTTGAAGACAGGGTTGGTGGTTTTCCCCACAGCTCTCGTCCTCTGGCGGCTTTTCCTACTCGTATCTGGAAGGATGGTACTACAAAAAGAGGCATTGTTGTGAGAGCATTCTAGTGAGACAGTGAACATTTATGTTTTCAATACACTTCACACAGCTAGTGAGGATTGGCAAAGAGTGTGGAGAGAGTGTGGCAACATCCTGCTGGGAAGACTCTGGGCACAGAACTGGCCAGACTTGGTTTGAATCCTGACTGTGCCTATTATTGGCTGTGTATTCTAGGATGAGTTACTTAACCTCTCAGACACTCAACTTCTTTACCTATAAAGTGGGACAGTGATGCCTACTTCATAAGGTTGATATTAGAATTAAATAACACATGCAAAACACTTAGTTCAGTGCCTGTATTTAGTTAAGTGCATTTAGTAAATGGTATCAATTGATTGAAGATTGCTTTAAAACTTGGAAGCACAGCCTATTCCTGATTATTTGTGATACCCATTGCCGTCAAGTCGACTCCGACTCATAGCAACCCTGTAAGACAGAGTGGAACTGCCCCCATAGAGCTTCCAAGGAGTGACTGGTGGATCTGACCTGCTGACCTTTTGGTTAGCAGCCATAGCAGCTGTAGCACTTAACCACTGCACCACTAGGGTTTCCTTATTTGTGATAGCCTAAGGAATTAGTGTTAGACAGAATTGAAAAAAGAAGTGAAACCTCTCCAATCCGTTAGATTTGACTTTGGAATAAATTATATATTTTTTGCAATCATTTACATTTCATTTTTGATAACTGAATGAACTTTAATCTACCGCCTCTTATAAAGGTAAGAAAGTCTGAGAGCAGTCTCAGAATGCGAGACTGACATGACCTGAAAAATCTTACTAACTGACATCTATGAAGAGTATGTATAGGGAAAATCATAAAGAACATTATATATACTTATAGAGCTGCAACTGGTTTTCTGATAGTAGAATCTATATAGATAAAAATAGTCAGAGGAACCTAGGTGAGGACACTCATATCCGTTAGTTACTATTTTACTAGATGCCAGGCACTTTATACGTGTAACAGAAAATAACTGCCATTTAAAAATCCAAACTGTCTTAAGCTCTTATGAGCTAACCCTTAGTAGGGGTTTGTTTAGCAAATCATTTGCCCAGTATCTGCAGGCTAATGTCAAGGCCCTTTGCAAACGGGCCACAAAAGAGGTGTGATAAAGGAGAGGAGGAAAAATTCTCCCTACTCCACAAAGGAGCCAAGGGATGTGACATCCCACCATTAGAAATCTGATAAACTCTTCTGTACCGAATAATGTCCTTACCAGCTGATGTACCCCTAGAAGACACTACATACCTGAGAATGAACTTTCTGGTTTCATTTATATATATGTCCTCTTACCTTTATGCTTTTAAAACTAAATTCAGCTTTGGGGATTCATGTCACAGATCTCTCGAGTTCAGGTCTCCATTGCCTCAAGTAAATTCATGTCAACTATGAGCAATGAGTTTCAGCAACAAAGATTTAGATAACTGAAACCAGCCATTAAAAACCAGGTTATAGTAGAAGGGAGGGAGGCAGCGTTATCAATCCTGTTACCATTTAACGAAAGAATTTAGATGGTTGCCCCTTAGCAGTGGCAGATCAACACATTCCTTCACCCAGATATGTACTTCTCCAGTTGTAGGAAGCTTTTTACCTATAACAGGAAAAGGAGAAAAAATACATTTTACTGCCATCCCCTTCTTGACAATAATGCATCTAAAGATGTCAGTCTAAAAATGGTTTGGCACAATGATACTAGCTGGTGCTTGGTGGTATTAATCTAATTGGTTAAATCTACACATTCTTAACCATATCTTTCATATTTTGGTTATACTGAGCTCAGAGAGCTTTGTGAAAATAATTTATATTGATTGATTCCAAGTACAGAGTGAATCATCCATTTATAGTTACATTGAAATCATCTCAATGAAATATCAGATGGTATTTCTGAGAGGCATTTTAAACATATTTGAGTCTAAAGTAACCAAAACAGGTACTGGTGAAAGTACAGCCTCTCTCTGTTAAAAGTGGTTATACATTTTACAGGGATACATAACAGGGAATAGGAAATTACCAAGAAGTTGGCTTGGTCTGAAATTGCTGTCTAGGTTGGGTGCGGTGATGTGGTAAATGTGTTTTACATATGGGAAGGATATGAATTTTGGGAGGCCAAAGGGTAGAATGTTATAGATTGAACTGCATCCCCTAAAAATATGTGGTGTAACTCCTAACCTCTATACCTGTGGTTATACACCCACTCCTCACTTATCGACACGGTTAGGTTCCAAAGACCAGGTCATTATGTGAAAATCAGCGTTATACAAAAACGGAAGACAACCACATCAGATCACAAAATGCAGTACGACTACACCATTACATAACTTCCAGATTACATCATTATATAACTGTCAAAGTACATCATTAGATAGCTGCCAAATCACTGAGACTCATGGCCCAGCCAAGCTGACACATAATGTTAGCCATCACAGCCAGTGTTATTCTCGCCTCAGACCCGCATTTGTTACTGCCAGATGTACGTCATTAATGCACAAAATAGTCAGACAGTAGATTTTTTTACTATTGTCGTAAATGCAAAATGTTGCATAACGTGAGGAGTAGAAGTAATCCCATTTGGGAATGAGTTGTCTTTGTGATGTAAATGAGGCAGGATTAGTACAGGATGTGTCTTGTATCAATCTCTTACAAGATACAAAATGAGCAGATTAAGCAAGCAGAGATGGGGAAGAGAGATGTTAAACCACATGAAGATTGTCCAGGAGCAGAAGCTCAGAAGAGACAAGGACCTTCCTCCAGAGCTGACAGAGAAAGAAAGCCTTCCCCTATAGCTGGTACCCTGAATTCAAACTTCTGGCCTCCGAAACTGTGAGAAAATAAATTTGTTTGTTAAAGCCATTCACTTGTGGTATTTCTGTTATAGCAGTACTAGATAACTAAGACAGGTACACATGGACAAAAGAATCCTACCAAATTTATCTCTGCATGGGTTAGCCCAATTAGTCAACCAATCAGTATTTAATGAGCATTTATTGTGTGCTCAGCCCTATGCTAGGAATGTTATTGGATATATAAGGAATATAAGAAATAATATATATGTCCTTGGGAAACACTAATAGTGAAGCTGGAGAGAGTAATTCAAATAAAACCGATAAAACTGCAATATGGAATTAAATGTCATGTTATTACTGTAATGTTCTAGAAGAAAAAGGGGATCAGTGAGACCTAGTATAATTAGGAAAAGCTTTATGGAGGAGATTGGACTTCATGTGAGACTTGGATAGGTTGAGCAGAGGAAGCCATTCCAGGGAAAAGGAACAACATAAGCAAAAACTCAGACAAGGTAAACCTATCACAACACACAACACACCTATCAGAACTCTACCCCTAACACTAAGAAAAGACAGTGCGGAAAATGGATTGGCAGAATTTCTATGCATGTTGATCATAAGTTGTAGTTGTTAGGTGCTGTCGAGTGGATTTTCCACTCACAGCGACCCCACATGACAGGGTGGAACTACCCCATAGGGTTTTCTAGGCTGTAATCCTTATGGCAGCAAATGGCCAGGTCTTTCTCTTGTGGAGTCACTGGGTAAGTTCCAACCCAACCTTTAGGTTAACAGCTGAGAGTTTAACCGTTTCAACACCAGGATTCACTTGATTATAAGTATTGTTGTGTGCCATGGAGTCAATTCTGAGTCATAGTGACTCTACAGGACACAGTAGAACTGCCTCACAGGGTTTCTAAAGCTGAAATTTTTATGAGAGCAGATCTCCAGGTCTTTTCTCCTGCAGGGTCATTGGTAGGTTTTAAACACCAACCTTTTGGTTAGCAGCCAAGCGCTTAGTCATTGCACCACCAGGACTCCTTTTGATCATATGCAGTAAGATGCAAATTATATGCAATAGAATCTGCTTTTTCGGTGGATCCAAATGTTGCATGATAGTGATCTGGCAGCAAATTTGGCTTAAAAATATACTTTGCTGCCCTCCAGTACTTTTTTATATTTTCCCTAAACTGAATTAGAATGCCTTTCTCTAGTTCAAGGAGTCCTAGGGGCCCAGTGGTTAAGTGCTCAGCTGCTAACCAAAAAGTCAGCGGTTCAAACCCACTAGCCACTCCATGAGAGAAAGATGTGGCAGTCTACTTCCATGAAGATTTACAACCTTGGAAACCCTATGGGTCAGTTCTACTCTGTCCTATTGGGTCTCTACGAGTCAGAATTGAGTGGACAGCAGCAGGTTCTCTAGTTCAGGGACTGCCCTCAACATCCATTGTTTCTTCCATCCCACTAGCCTCACTGTCTGGTTCCTGAAAGTATTTGAGTTTGTAACCCAAGGTATTAGCCATTGCATTCTTACAGATGTTTAAGAAGAGTAACTTGGGGAACTTGCTTGGGAAACAAGAGAGGGGCTAGCATTCATTTCCTGCCAGTCTCCTGCTCATTAACTGGGCTGAAAAGACTGGAGGCCCTAATGTCAAGGATGGAATTAGGAATCTTGAGGAAAAGGCTTTACTTCCTAGTGAGATCCTGAGAGTGTAGGACCAATGAGTTCTAATTTATTAGGGGCTTCCTATGAATTCTTCTAATTCCCATCTGTGAAAAAGAACAGTCAGGTGCTATTCTCATCACAACATTATCAGTAGGTCCAAATTCTGAATATAGCAAAGACCATTCACACTGTGCAGATACAAACTTTTTAGAGAGTGAGGTGAAAGTTAAACTTAAAAATTTAGAATCTTCTCGTTTGCAACTGTGAATGGATTCATTTGATCTATACAATTACTAAGTTAGAAGTTTGGGACTTCATCTTTGGAAATACAGTAAAACCTGCGAAAGCTGGAACCTGTGTAAGGTGGAAACCTGTCAGAGAAGGAAAACTAAACTATTTTCCACAAATAGAGAGCAACAGAAAAGTGGTAAGATTGTACCCTGTCCCTGTCAAAGGCAGATAACTTGAGAAACCTGGAAAAATAAGACAGTCACGGCAAGTTCCAGCTCTTACAGGTTTCACTGTACAATAGAATCTAAAGAAATCCTTGGAGAAGGGAGGGAAAAGGAAAGGCCATGAATCTGGACAGAAAATCATTACATACCAGGGCTTGGTTCTGGGACATACTGGAGGGCTAACTTCATTTCACCTCTGTTTTCTGCCTCAATGGCAACTGGTGCTGTCTGAAAAATGAAGGAAAGTTAGCAAGTATGAGGTACTGACTATATATCCTCTTGGTACTCTGTTAGAGTGCCCTGGATTAAAAATTCCCTTTCCATCAAAGCTAGACTGCTGCTGTTTAGATCTGAGAAAGCAATACTGTGCATCTTGGAAAACCTTGCAGGGTACCCAGAAAACACTGCAAGATCTTTAGTCTCAAAGCTGATGAAGAAATCAAAGTGGCTTTCTTAGAGATGTGAGAAGTGTCCTGGGATGCTTTAGTTTTTACAAAACAACATACATTTGGTTAGTCATTCTGTTATCTGGCATGCCAGCACGTAAGACAGTTTCTATTACCCACTGGTTTTTAACCAAGGTGTTGTTCAGGTTCCATGTATTTGATTTCTTTTCCTTCCTATTCTTGTTATTGATTTCTACTTTTATGGCACTGTAATCAGAGAAAATGCTTTGTATTATTTTGATTTTTTGGATTTTGTTGAGGCCTGTTTTGTGGCCTAAAATGTGGTCTATTCTGGGTAATGTTCCATGTATGTTAGGAAAGAATGTATACTTTGCTGTTGTTGGATGGAGGGTTCTGTATATGTCTATGAGGTCAAGTCGGTTGATTGTGGTATTTAGATCTTCTTTATCTTTGTTGAGTTTCTTTCTAGATTTTCTGTCCTTCACTGAAAGTGGTGTGTTGAAGTCCACTACTATTACTGTGAAACTGTCTATTTCTCTTTTCAATGCTGTTGGAGTCTGTTTTACATATTTTAGAGCCCTGTCACTGGGTACGTAAATATTTATTATGGTTATGTCCTCCTGGTATATTGACCCTTTAATCATTGTAGTGTCCTTCCTTATCCTTTACGAGTTCCTTATCTTTTATGGCACATAAAACAATTTATTTGTAGTCTCTCTCTCTGAAGGAGTAAGAATAGTATAGGATGGTAGGAAAAAAAAGTCAAATCTCTTATTTCAAAGCTGCATTAATCTGATTATTTTAGACCAAATGAGTAGAATTCTGTAAGATTAACAAAACTGAACAATAATTTTAAAATGTATATCTGTTATTTTCAAGGATAAGAGAGACGGTTTTATTTTCAAATTCTGGTCCTTTAGATCCTTATTTCTAAAACATGGCAATGCATCAAAAACATATACCGGGAGTTACTTAAAAACGAGATAGTCTGGCATCTTCAGAGGAATTCAGATTCATCAGGTGTTAGGTAGGGCTAGAAATAAAGGCCTCAAGTGATTTTGATGTAATGTTGTTGACCCATTTATTTAGTGGAACTATTTACTGTGTAGATGCTAAATAATGGTTTGTATTTATTTTTGTATTTATCACTTTTGGCTATAATGGACTAGCTCGGATCACACCAACCTTCACTTCACACTGAGAACAATAAGAAAAGCTGGATTAAAAAATCTATTTGAGGTGCTAAAGAATTACCAAGACAGACAGAACTCAAATGGACAAGATCTTGGAGCTTCACATTCTTCTCTACTTTTCATTCCAAGGCATTAGCTGATTTGTAAGTAGTGCCAAACTGAGAGTATAAAAAGCCTAGCAGAAAGGGGTTGAGAAGCTGAGCAGAACTTTTGGCAGTCTTATGGAGCTGGGGAGACAAAAATAGGAGTCTAGGATCTGTCAAGGAGGAGTGGCCACGGAAAACATCCTACACCAGTGGTTTTCAAAGTGTGGTCCCCAGACCAGGAGCATCACCATTGACTAGGAATTTATGAGAAATGCAAATTCTTGGGCCCAGACCTTACTGAATCAGAAACTTTGGGGATAGGGCCTAGCAATCTGGTTTTTAACAAGTCCTTCAGGTGACCTGGATGTGTGCTAAAATTTGAGAACTACTTACCTAGGCTTTCCGTTGGAACCCCTGAAAGGCCACAGCTTAGGAATATGGGCAAGCAAGAACTAGACCAGACAACATAAAAATTAAACCCCAGCATCAGGATAGCTCATTCCCAGAGTAGATTAAGGTGGTCTGTCCCTAACCTGTCTGTCAGAAGCAAAAGTAAACTTACTCAAATGATCCCTACAACTTTTCACATGTAATGCCCAGTGTACAACAGAAAATAACCATCATACCAGGATACAGGACCAAATGAACAAACTAAGATTTAAAAAATAGGTAAGGGACACTCACAAATGTTTAAGATACTGGAGTTTTCAGCTATCCACTGTAAATAACTTTGATTAATATATTCATTAAGATAATGTCAAGATGGAAAATTTTAGCAGAGAAATGGAATCTATAAAGAAGATTCAAATGAAAATTGAAATCTGAAAAAAATATAGTAATTGAGAACCTGTAAATCGGTTTAACAGCAGATTAGATATAACTGGTAAGAAAGTTATTGAAATAAAAGGTTAGCAAAAAAAAAAAAAAAAAGCCAGCCTGAAGTATATATAGGGGAAAAAGATAGAAAATACAGAATAGAGTAAGACATATGGGACAGGATGAAAAGGCAGAACATACATGTAACTGGAAGGTCCATAGGAGAAGAGAAAAATAGTGGGGGCAAAAGCAATATCTGAAGAAATAATTGCCAAATAATTTTCAAAGCTGATGAAAGACACTGTCATGGATTGAATTGTATCCCCCAAAAATATGTGTCAACTTTGTTAGACCATGATTCCCAGTATTCTGTGGTTGTCCTCCATTTTGTGATTTTCCTATGTATTATAAATCATAATCTCTACCTGTGGTTAAGGGAGGATTAGGGTGGGATGTAACACCCCTCCTCAGGTCACATCCCTGATCCAATGTAAAGGGAGTTTCCCTGGGGTGTGGCCTGCACCACACCTTTTATCTTACAAGAGATAAAAGGGACAGGAAGCAAGCAGAGAGTTGGGGATCTCATGCCGCCAAGAAAGCAGTGCCAGGAGCAGAGCATGTCTTTTGGACCCGGGGTTCCTGTGTGGAGAAGCTCCTACTGATGACAACGACCTTCCTCCAGAACTGACAGAGAGGAAGCCTTCCCGTGGAGCTGACGCCCTGAATTTGGGACTTCAAGCCTACTAGACTGTGAGAAAATTAATTTCTCTTTTTTAAAGCCATCCACTTGTGGTACTTCTGTTATAGCAGTACTAGATGACTAAAACAGACACCAAGACACAGATTCAAGAAGGTCACTGAACCCCAAACAGGGTAAGTACTAAGAAAACTAACTGTAGGCTCATTATAGGAAAAACTGCTGAAAAACAAAGACCAGAAACAAATCCTAAAATCTGAGAAAAAACATATAACCGTCAAAGGCACAAAAATAAGATTAAAAGCTGACTTATCAAAAGAAATAATAAAAGTCTGAATATAACAGAACATCTTCAAAATATTGAAAGAAATAAATGCCAACCTAGCAACATAGCAAGAAGTCCTTAAAAAAATGAAGGTTAAAAAAGATGTTTTGATACCAAGAAAGCCTGAGAGAATTTGTTGCCAACAGATATGCACTAAAAGCAAAACTAGACGGAAGCTTTCAAGCAGAAGAAATAACTCCCATATATACAGGAAATAATTAAGAGCAACAGAAAGGTAAATAGGTTGTTAAATCTAAATGAATATTGATTGTATAAAACAATAATAACGATGTTTTGTACTTAAAATGTATGTGCAATTAAAATACATTACTAACAATAGCACAAAAGGTGGGAGGAGAGGTAAATGAAGTTAAAATGTTCTGGCTTCCTTTCATTGTCCTGGAAGTGGTAAAAGTCCTAATTTATATTACACTTATGAATCAAGGATGCATTTGTAATCTCTAGGGTAATCAATAAAGGAAAAAGAAAAGAAACTATAATTGACATATTAATAGAGAGAAAAATGAAATAATAAAGTATTTGATTAATATCAAAACAGATAATTATGAAAATAATAAGGAAAATCGGACATATATTAAGATGATGTCTTTAAATCCAAATATGTCAATAATTACATTAAATATAAATGGAATAAATAACCCAATGAAAAGACAAAGATTTTTATACTGGAAAAAAATCTAAACTGTTACATATATGAAACATATCTTAACGTTTTAAAAGATTGAATATCAAAGGATAGAAACAAAATTCTAACCAAAAGAAAGCTGATAGAGCTATACTACTAATACAGACAAAGTAGATTTTAAGGCAAAAAGCATTACTAGAGATAAAAAGGGATATTTCAAAATGGTAAGATGGTCAATCCATCAGGAAAATATAACAATTCTAAATTTCTATATACTTAATCAGGCAAGCTCAAAATAAAAAATAAAGCAAAAATTACAAAAATGAAAGAAGAAAAAGACAAATCCCACAATCATACCTCTCTTAGTAAGTACATGCAGACATAAAATTAATAAGGATATAGAAGACTTAAGCAACATCATTCACCAACTTGACTTAGCTGACAGATATATAGAACACAGCATTTGACTACCACAAAATACACTTTCTTTTCAAATGACACGTGACATTTATCAAAATTTGACCATTTACTGGGCTAAGTAAGTCTCAAATTTCAAAGGATTTAATTCTTTAAATGATCTTTCTGAAGTCTCTGAAACATCTGTGTTTAAATGAATTAAACATTCTCCCTATGATCTCTTTTAGCCTTTTTTCACTGAATGAATAAGGTAAGTAGGTCCGACCCTAGTTTAAAATGATCCCAATCTGCGAATCAGCATTCTGAGTTAAAATGCAATTTTATAGTAGCTTTTACACACAAGGCCCCAAACCAACCATTCAACCAACCAATCAACCAGCCAAAACACTCTGAACTTACCTTCCGTTTCAGAGGGTACCACTTCAACTGTTTATTCTGTTTGTTGTCCCAGTCCCATGTTTCCAAATCAAGTTCCACCTCCCCTAGGAAACTATTGCGTTTAAATGTATCCCGATGCCAAACAGATATGTTCAGTTTCTGTGTCTTTAAGATTTGTTTTTCAATTTTGTACTGCAGTTCAAAGAAGAAAATTAAAATGATGAATAATATTACCTCGTGCCAAAGTTATGACATAGAGATGAAGAGAAAAATCAACTGTGTAGATCAGATTTTCTCATCTGCTAGTTTTCAAGTCTGAAAAATACTGCAAAGTCATCCTATTCTGTAAGTGTACTGTTTCAAAGAGCCGAAACCCATCTTTCACAAAAGCTGATTCACTTTCCCTCTCTGGAAAAGCAAACCATAGCTCAAATATCACAGCTGGTAATAGCTCTCTAAAAAGAAAAAACAATTATTCAATTTTTACTGAATGTTTTTAGTTCTAATTAGATATAAAAACAATTAAATTCAGTCTAAAAATACAAGTCCAGTTTAACCCAGTGCTCTGTTTTCTACCTAAGGATAAGGTTTTTTCTCAAAAAACATAATGTTTTTCCTGCTTCATATGGTAAAGTGGGAAAGATTTGGCATCCTAACCATTTTTCATCTAAAATGTAGTCAATCCTTGATTATATATAATCATGGAAGGGATAATAGTACTTCTAATCTAAAAATAATCTCTATTTGGCTTTACAGGAGCCCTGGTGGCGCAGTGGTTAAAGCACGCTCAGCTGCTAACCAAAAGGTCAGTAGTTCAAACCACCAGCCACTCTGCAGGAAAACGGTGTGGCAGTCTGCTTCTGAAAAGATTTACAGCCTTGGAAACCCTACCAGGGCAGTTCCACTCTGTCCTACAAGATAGCTATGAGTTGGATTCTACTCGATGGCAACGGGTTTGGTATTTTTGGTATTTGGCTTTATAATGCACTATGTGAACACCCTTTTTGGTTGTAGCTGACTTGTCTTTCTCTGAGTTTATGGTTTAAATTAGCTGGCCTCTCCTGAGCATAGTGTTGAAGTAGCTGACACAGAAATAGTAGGGTATCAAACGGTTATTAAAAATTTACTACAGAAAATTCACAAGGTGGTTAATTCATCCATGGATAAACAGTACTTTTTAATATTGTTACTTTTATATGATGATATGTTACTTGTGACTAAAGTAGTATGATCCCGTTTAGGGCAGGGGGGAATAAAATGGGTATTTGAGTCAGGTATACTTTCCATTCATCTGTCCATTCATCCAACCCTCCAATAAACATTTTTTTAGTACCTATGATATATCAGAACTACTAAGAATCAGGGCTACAACAATAATAGCTAATAGCCAACACTTACAAAATATTTAGTGTATGCTAATCACTTCACATATATTAGCTCTTTCAATCTTTTAATCAGGTCTGAGTTATAGTTAAGTCATTTGCCCAAAGGCACACAGTTTATAAGCAACCCAGAGTTGGTACCTGCCCTCATGGAATTTACAGTTTAGTGGGAAGGCAGACAATTAAACCAGTACTTTAAAGTGCTGAGTGTTAACATAGTCTACCATGAAACAAGGCTACTGAGGCAGCAGATAGCAAGGGAATTCAGGGATTAAGGACAAACTCTCACAGGAACAGGCATTTAAGGCTGTGTACAAGGTAGTTAGGGAAAGAATGTTGGGGAAGAATATGCCAACCCCAAGGACGAGAAGGTCCTATTAGTGTGAGAAAATGTAATTCCTCCAGCGAACTGAAAGGAATATAGTGTAGCTTGAATATAGAATATAAAAGGGAGAGATGAGGCTGAAGCTCAGGTTGTGAAGGAATTGGTATGCATATTAAGAAGGACAGACTTAATTCTAAGAGTAATGGAAATCCCAAAAGGATTTAAGCAAAGAAACGAGATGAACTGTGGTTTAAGAGGATCATTCTGGTTGCAATGCTCAACTTTGCCGTGTGTGTGTTCTTGAGCAAGTTACTTTATTTCCCTAAGCTTCCTTGGCCTCATCTGTGAGATGCAAATAATAATACCTGCCTGGCAGGGTATGTATGGAGAGAAAATGGGATAATGTACATAACATGCATAGTACATTGCCTCATACAAAGCAGATTCTCAGAATTTTTTTTATTACTTTCCTTCTCCTCTCCTGGTGACTGGCTATCTATAAAGACACTACCCCAGAAGAAATGGCTATTTAAATGTATATGTTGTCGTTTGTGATTTTCCTACATAGAGAATTCATAGATACCCGCAGAATCTCGTTATATACAGGATTCAAGGTTTTCTTCACTACGACTGTTTTCTTCTTGCCCATTTTGCCTCTGTCTGGTAACAAATAGGTCTTTACATATCTGAAAAGAGAAGAGAACAGATAACAAGGTCAGAGGTGATGAAAGTGATGTTTCTACCTCTACTTTAAAAAAATGCATCAAAAACTAACAACAAAAACAATTATTTCATGACACTGAAAAAGGCATTAAGTAATAAACGCTTCCATTAATACCTTACACTTAAATGTTTAAAGAGGTTTCAGCAGAATTGATCATTTGATATTGCTTTGAAGAATTTTAAAGGTTATTTACCAAATTCCTCTTTTCCTTTGGTTTTACCTAATGTGAGTCAGAATCGAATGCACCACTACCAACAACCAATAGCATCACCTAATGTGTGTGTGTGTGCTGGGGGGATGGTTAGGGGAAAGACTTCTAACCTAGGGTTTAATTCTGTAGGTTTGGTACCTATTGCCAAAAGGGTTTGGTGCCTGCAGATTTAATTTTATTTTACATTTTTGTTACTGTTTTTTGAAAAAAAAATTAATCTTAGCATACATCTAATCAAGCCGTAGTCAATGTAAAAAAATAATAATAAAAGATATTAAGCCCAGTTGTATTTACGATAAGAATAAAAGAAACAGGACTGGGTTGATCCCAGCAAAATAATTAAGAATCAGACTTCTACACAGGCATAACTGGGAAATATCATTCAACTTTTGCAAACAGACTGAAAGGCAGTCAAGCCTATGATTTAAAAGATGAACTAGTAATTCTCCCTATAAGTCTTCTGTAGGATGTAATTTAAATATGGAAACTACCTTATTCCAGAATCGCAATTATTTCTACAGTACTAAACATATGACTTATGCCTCCTTAAAAAAATACAAAAAACAAAAAAAACACCAAATCTGTTGCCATCAAGTTGATTCAGACTCATATCGCCCCTAAAGGACAGAACAGAACTGCCCCACAGGGTTTCCAAGGCTGTAATCTTTATGGAAGCCACAGCCACATCTTTCTTATGCAGAGCGGCTGGTGGATTTTAACACCTGACCTTTTGATTAGCAGCCAAATACTTAACCACTGCACCACCACGGCTCCTTACTTAAGCTCCACATGTCCCCAATTTTTTGGAAAGTGTGACAGTGTTGTGAAAAGAGGCATAGGTTCAAGCCCTCATTCCTCAGTTCTCCACTGATTATCTGAGTTTAGGCAAATAGGCCACTGGCTCTTCTTTCCTTATCTGTAAAACAATCTAGACAAGATGACCTCAAAGGTCCCAACCAACAGGAAACATTCTGTGCTTCTCTGTGATTTTTATAATTTAATAAGTTTGGCATATGAATTTATAAAGTAAATAAAACAGCATTTCCCCCAACTTTTCTTTTTCAAACATTCCTTTCAACAGTCACACACCCTCCCTTTGATTACTTTCTTTTCTTCCAATTCTTAACAAGAATAATAGTTTGATTCTAGTAAAAAGACCCAACTTAATGGTCTGAGACTGGAGGAACCCCGGAAAGCACGGCCCCCAGATTCTCTATCAGCCTAGAACTAAAACAATTTACGAGGCCAACTCTTCAGACAAAGATTGGACTGGACCGTAGGACATAAAATGATACTTGTGAAGAGTGTGCTTCTTAGCTCAAGTAGATACATGAGACTAAATGGGCAGCTTCTGTCTGGAGGTGAGATGGGAAGGCAGAGAGGGTTAGGAGCTGGTTGAATGGACATGGGAAATCAGGGGTGGAAAGGAGGAGGGTACTGCCACAGTATAGGGGAGCAATTAGGGTCACATAACAATGTATATATAAATTTTTGTATAAGAGACTAACTTGAAATGTAAACTTTCACTTAAACTACAACAATAAACAAAAAAAGATTAATAGTTTGAAAGTAGTTGACTCCAAAATGTACTTACGGATCTGAACGTTGTTTTTTCACGTCCACTGCTGCTAAATCCTTACACTGCGCCACAAAAACATGCAACTCCTTCAATGAGTCCACATAGTCGATGGCAAACTGAATATTCCCTTTAACTTCCAGATTGCCAAAGTCTCCACTATAAACACTCATCATACTGCCACTCACCTGAAAGCATCAGAAACACACAGAGTTTGCCTCTATCCCATTCTTGAACCCAACACGAGGATCATGGATAAAATCCTTGCTTGCCATGATTTCTCTAACTTGCATATAAAAGCTATTAATTTAATGTAGCATAAAGACATATCCACTAGCTGTTCCTTGGAAACCCTATGGGGTAGTTCTACTCTGTCCTATTGGGTCACTATCTATCAGAACTGACTTGACAGCAACTAAAAATAACAACAAAGACCTATCAACCCAGACAACCTGACATGATATACATGACCAGTGTTTAAAAAAATTTTTTGCCTTTAAAAGACTTAGATGAAAAGTGAAATACAAAGTTATTTAGTTGCTGGCTCATTTCAAAGCAGGGTGATTCGTTGCTAGGTGGCACTCAGATCCCCATTTTTAGGCATGCACTGTATTTAAAAGTCAAAGACAGAGGATGTGAGAAACCCCAGGACCACAAACCACAGTGACACACCGCTCTATCAAACTTTCAAGGTACTAAAAAGGAATTTTACTAAGTTATCCATCCACTGAAAAGGCTTACTGAGCCATGTGCTTTTATAGGTTAGAAAGGGTAGAAAACGGATGATTGATGAAGGAGGTTTAAAACCTTCCCAAGGGCAGACACTAGATTGTTATCAGCAGAAACTCAATTTAATTAAACAGATTCCAAAACAAAATAAATAGCTGGATAAATGCCAAGCCTGTAAGAATTTAAGCACAGCTTTATCATTTGATTAGCATACCTGTGAGATAAGAGTATGCATATGTGTTATCAGAGAAATACTTGGATAAATGGATGCAGATATATTTATGTCTGTGTACATATATGTATATGCATACACACACACACTACATGCACACACAACTACCTCATTTTATGCAAGAAGTTTTATATAAGTCAAATTTTCTTAAATCAAGTCTGAGCAATTATAGAGAGCTTTCCTTTTAAAACCTTATTCTAAATCCTTCTATAAGAAAAAGAATCACCTCGCCAGTTCTTTTAGGAAAATTGGTATTTTTATTCATCAGGTACATGAAAATATATCTAATGTAAGCAGACTTTACTATAAACCAAAACCCGGTGCCGTCAAGTTGATTCCGACTCACAGTGACCCTGCAGGACAAAGAAGAACTGCCCCATACGGTTTCTAAGGGGTGGCTGGTGGATTCAAACTGCCCACTTTTTGGTTAGCAGCTGAGCTCTTAACCACTGTGCCACCAGGACTTTACTATAGTTGCCCCATTTGTTGCACAGAAAAATTGAGTAGTTCATCTTGTTGGCAGTTTAGGTTTGTTTTTGAAGTACAGTTTCTAAATTTAAAAAAAACACACACACATTTGTAATGGATATGACCCCTTCTACACACACACAAAAAAAAAGAGAGAGAAGACGAGAAAAAAGGAAGATTTAGCTAGCTAGAAGCTAACTGTGAATTAGAGAAGAAGCTCATGCCCTTGGAATCCGAGAAATAATACAATAAGAGGCTGTTTTACAATGAGCAGGAGCATGGCAGAGCAAGGTTCACAGCAGAGAGGTATTAACACGAAGCGTTTGTTTACATACAGAAGACAAGGACGTCATGCCAGAGGAGCTGCTAAGATTGGTTAAAGAGCTCGGGCTCTTCTTGTGTCTGCTGAGCTGGTAACTGCTTTCTGATGCTGTATCTGTTTCTCTGTCATCACTCTACAAAACATCATATAATACACACAGTATTTAAATTCAGAATGAGTCAAGGTCAGAATCTCTGTTTAGGCAAAGATATTATCTCAGTAACCCACTGATCTCTGGTATTTCCCAAGGTCAACGGACGTTTAGTGATAATTGCCAGAGAATGGGCTACAGGATGGGGTGGAAAGTCTGCTCTGAACCTGACCTAAGGAGGACAGTGGCTAGTTACACCAAAATAACAGTTATTTTTTCACCAAAAGGTGCTACAGACGGCAGCGCTATTGCAAGTTTTCTTGTCACTCTCTTAATATTATTTATTTATGTTGCTTTGAGAACTTTCATAATATATATGAGAAATTAACTTTACTCAGACAATAAAAGGTCTAAGATTCACTGTCAAAAAAACAGAAAAAAAAAAAAAGTTCATGCTAAATTCCTCTCATTATTAACATAGCCCTAACTTCCCTAAAAATCAAATCTTTTACTTGAGATGCTATTATACTAGGAAAAAGAAATTCCAGTCTGATCCTTTTCAACTAAGGGTTGTTTTTGTTTATTCTGTGCCACACTTTATATTGGTGCTATTGTGCTTATCTTATGCTGTTAAGGGGAAGTATATGAAGTAAGTATTCTACCCACATCTCAGAAAGAAAAGGCATTGAGATACTTATTTTAACTATGTCTCAGGAAATATTTGCCTAAGATAAGAAAGGAAGTGGCAATAACAAATTTTATTATATTTGATCGCAAGTTTATTGGATAGTAGTTTAAAACATTTATGATTCAGAATGAGCTTCTTTTGGTTTGGAGGGTTTATGGGGAAGTTCAGTAGCTACTGTGGTTAAGGGAACACCTTCATGTAGCAGTTAGTTCATGCCAGCATATTCCAGGGCCATGCAATTATGCATCAATATAATGGATGCCAATTCTAATGCAGATTAAGAAAAGGGGTTAAAGAACAACAAAATTAATCACTTACATGAATAAGAAAATAATCCCCCCTCAAGGATTAAAAAAAAAAAGTATATATTTTTAATGTGTTTCTGTTGTCACACCCTCTCCCTACATGCTTACAGTCCATTTTCCTCTATTAGAGCATGTACTACATTCTACCTAGTATTATCAGGCTTATTAATGAACTACTAAAAGAACAGGACCCTGTCTTGTCAACCTGGAACAATGCTTTTCACATAGTTGGCACTCAACAAATGTAACCAATGCTAAGCCTCACAGGGACAGTGAACAAAGGAAAAAGGCCTGATTTCACCTCCACTTCCTTTTAATATCCAGTTCAACCCTAAGTATTTTGATAAGGGTAAAATGATATGGCTTAATTTTGGCATCTGTGATGCACAAACCCAAACGATCTGGTCTCTCTTTTGTGTAGAGCTATGACACGGCAGGTTAAAACTGAAGGGAGGGGGTGAAAACAAAAACCAGGAACTGGTGTCATTTATTTCTCCAATTATTACATGGTTCATTCACATGACCACCCAAATCCTGCTGTGTTGGTAGACCAAAGCTGATTTACAAAGGTATAAAACCACAGGAACACCATGGGGTGCCTGCCACTGGGTTCCTGCTAATGAGTTAGTTCCAAAGGATGAGCGATTCTTTCTACATGAAACTGTAATGTGGGCTCTTAAGCATAATGCAAGAGCTGAATGTTTGCAGATATGGTTCATCAAGGTCCAAGAATGGACAGAGTGGTGTAATTCACTTGGTGCTCAGGAAGAGGGGAGCATAATGTATTTGTTGTCCAGAGCTTTCCTAACATTCTACCTACTAAGAGAATAAAGATGAAGCCTTTTATTTCACCACCAGAAATCAGACCAAAACTGCAAACAGTAACAGGTAACGTTTACTGAGTACTTACTATGTGCCAGGCACTGTGCTACATGCTTTCCCTGCATTATCCACTGACTCCTCATAACCTTATGTGGTAGGTACTAGGAAACCAGACTCAGAGAGGTTAAGGATTTTGTCCATGATTACAAGCAGCGAATAAGTAACATAAGTAGCATAGTCAGAACTGGGAATGTCTGACCTAAAGTTCACGCTTCTAACTACCTGACTGCAAGAACATGAGATATTAAGTCAAAACATCTGAGTCCCAAATCCACTCTTTAGCAGCTGCTGGATTTTGGAAAAGTTACTTAACCTTTCTCAGTCTCTTTCCTTTTTTATAAAATGGAGAAAATAGTATCTATCATGTTCAGTTAGTGAAGGTCGGATTTTAGAATGAATATTAAGTGCTTGGTACATAGTAGGTACTCAACAAATAGTAGCTAATAGTAATGTTCCTATTTGAGATATGGTATAGTGGTGGGCTCTGGAGTCAGATCTGGGTTCCAGTCCTAATTCAACTCCTTTCTAGCTAAGTGAGGTTACTTCACCTCTCTAAATCTCAGTTTCCACACCTGTCATACCTGAGGATAATGATGGTGCCTACCTCCCAGTGTTGTTAGGGGGATTAAATGAGATAATGTATGTAAAGTACCTAGCACCTACTAGAGATTCTTTAAAATTTGCTACTGTCATTGCTATTTTTATTATTTTAACAAATGCTTTTAAGCTAGTTATACTACCTAGACTAAGTTTTTACAAATTAACTAATTACAGAGGAGTAGTTCACACCAACATATTTCTGCCTTGATTCTTATTTGGCACTCACTTTGAAACAAAAGTCACATTCCCAAATCTATGCAATTTGACTTCACTGAACAAAAAGAGTCACTGTTTGAGTTAAATAAAACATGCCCTGCCTTGATCCAGGATTAACAACACTACCTCTATTGACTTGGAAAGCAAGGGCCAGTCCTGCTGACCTCCTTGGTCTCTGCCACAGTGGCATACAAATACACCAACCCGGGCATAGCAAATCCACCTGTCTGGCTCCATTTTTCTGAAGTATAAAAGACAAACTTGCCTCATCTTGGAGAAATGCTGGAACAGACTTGCTCATCCTTTTGAGTTTGTCGGGGTGGGAAAACTGATTACCAGGTTGTGACGGCACTGTGGAAACTAAAGAGCAGCATTTCCATTTCAAAATCAGACAACACTAGGCATAAGATGAAAACACACTTTTCTTTCATCTATGAACAGACATGTTTTTGTAAAAAGGTTAGAAGCACGGTAGTTTACATGCACAGCATCATAAGGTAAGCAACATGCAGTGTTCATAAACTACATAGAGAATTAGCAAGGAGTTGAACCAAATAAAACATAAAAATTGTAAAAACCATTAGTTTTTATTGAATTACAGCTGGACTTGAATTATACAGAAGAATATTGTCAATGTAACGTATTTTTTCACACCAGAATGTCTAACAAGATCTAAACCGTAATTTATTGGTTCATCTCCTCAAGACACATTATATTTCTAACGTGCTGCAGGCTGAAAACTATTTCATCTGGACAGTAAGGATCTTTGTACACAACTCAATGATAAAAGTGTCCTGCTATTGAGTGTCTAAGAGATGGTTTGTTTAGTGATTATGGGGATTACTTTTCTGATAGTGTTTCACTCAGAATTATGAAAGAGTACAATCCAAAACTAATTAATTTTTTGAAAATAGAAATTATTTAGATACCTGTCAACTCAGAGAATGATCACTAGAGGTATCCCAAGGACAAGGATGAATGATTCAGGTTAGAATACTCTAAGAATTTAATATGAAAATACAGTGTATGAATTCTTTCTGATATAGTGAGTACATGTATGGAAGGTACAATAAAATGATAAATTCTATTCCTAATTTGCATATCTCTAGCAAGAAAACTATTTTCTTCTTTGTCTAGGAATCATGTCGAAGCTTTTTTTATGGTGAACTATAGCTTTTATATGGAATGAGTTAATGTTCTTCAAAGTACTTAGAATACTGCCTGGCACATAGTAGACCCTATATAAGTATTTGTTAAACAAATAAATATTACCTGATATTATTTAAATTATCTTTCAAATGTGATGCATATATATTGACTTAGCTTTGTCTTTTAAAGGGATACTAGTGAAATAGCCAAAAATCAAATTATGTTTCTACATATAACTCAAAGGAAGGAGCCCTGGTGGTGCAATGGTTAAGGGCTTGGCTGCTAACCGAAAGGTCAGTGGTTCAAATCCACTAGCGGCTCCTTGGAAGAAAAGACCTGGCAACATCTGTTCCTATAGAGATGAGAGCCTAGGAAACCCAGTTGGGCAGTTCTACTCTGTCCTACAGGGTTGCTATGAGTCGGAATCACTTGATGGCACATAACAGCAATGTAACTCAAAAGGCTTAAATTGAGCCCTAGGCAGTAGCTAATTTTTAATTAAAAGAAATCTAATAAAAGAAAAACAAAGTTAGAGCTACACATATTAAGTATATGCTTGTTTACACAGTAGTTCTCACTTAGCCTTAGGATCATAAAGGTAAACGCACATTAAAATACATTCACAGTATTTCACTAGAATGATGTCTACTTTAATCACTTCCCATTAAACAAGAACGTGTGTGAGTGTATTGGGGTGACATATACGAGCAGCAGTGTTAGATCAGGGCCCAAGAAGTCAGAGTATGGCCCAATGAGTATGCAATTTTTTTTATTATAATAGAGTTATTATTTTTAAATTATATTGTTAGATAATAACATCTAGGTCAAAATCAATTTTATCCACAACTCAGATGCAGTTAATTTTTTATTTATGAGCTTTACTTATGTTTTGATCATATATTTGATTTTTGTCTTATGGTAAGAATACACTCTTCACCTAGAGAAAAGGAATAATCTCAGCCCAGGCACTAAGGGTCATTCTGGAAAATATCATAAACAGGGAGAAATTAATTCACCCAGGGTTCAGCACACAGTTATTTTATTTGCCTTGCCTAATAACTAAGACAATTAAGAGATAATGAATAAATATGTATGTGTACAATTGGTCTCTATTCATCTGGATCAACAGAGGAAGACGGAGAGTCAAGAATAGAAGGAGGATATGGAATGTGTGTTTAATTATCTCCATGAACAACTTGTCTCCTTTGCCATAAGACCAGAAGAATGGGATGGTGCCTGGCTACCATTACTAAACATTTTGATCAGACTCCATAGAAGAATCCTGATCAAAAGGGGGAAAATGTAGAACAGAATTTCAAATTCTCATAGACTCTAGACTTTCTGGAGCCATGGCAGCTGGATGAACCCCTGAAACTATTGCCCTGAGATAATCTTTAAATCTTAAACCAAAATATCCCCTGAAGTCATCTTAAAACCAAATGATAGTTTAGCTTAACTAGTAAAACAAGGTCTGCCTTGAGCATTATGCCCTTTTAAGAACTATCTACATGAGATCAAACTGACGACAGCAACTCAAAAGATTAATAGGAACCTTAGAGGGCAGTGAGTTTATGTTAATGAGGGAGGAACAACTCAGAAAAGGACAGTGAGAATGGTTTTACAACTCGAAGAATTTATTCAATGTCACTAAATTATATATGTATAAACTGCTGGAAAAAAGATACATATGTATAGGCATATGTGTCAATATATAGTTTGTTTTCACTCCTAAGACTAAGTGTTGAATAAAACATAGCAAGATAAAATAAGATGCCCAACCTCAAAGCATCTGCCAATTCAAAAGCAACTGGAAAAGCCTCTTTACCTAACACTCTCTATGGGCAAAAGTCTTGCTTCCTCTGCAGCAGCTAAAGAGAGACAGCGCAGTTCTTAGGTAGTTGTCAAGTCATGTGCCAACGCTCAGCATCTTCAGAGGACCTCATGAGCAAAGTTTCAGATTTCATACTAGATGTCACTGACGTCTAGCATCAGCACTTTATCTAATGGCTCCTTCATTTAGCTACTCTTCTCATTAAGGCCTATTAGTACATCCAAAGACTGCTGGGAATTATTATTTAATATACTGCGGACTCCTGAAAGCAGGGACGTGTATCCTTATTTTCATACTTCCAGTGCCTATGTTTAAGAAACTGGCTGAAACTGGGAAGCCAAGATGACACACGTGCACTTCTGGTATTGCTTTGCTAGGTTCTGCAAACAACTTTTTAGTGTGCTATTTGTCCTTATGACAGTAGTCTCAGCTAAGAAAAGGGAAAACAAAGGATTGTCTTTATCTGGTGGTGGATATTAATTAGTTGATAAACATTAGTTACCGTAAGTATACATTTTTTTTTTAGATTCAGTTTTAAACCTCAGAGTTTAAATCTTGTACACAATAAAATTTGCTTATACAGACATGTAGAGAGACATATACAACCATCCTACATATTGTCAAAGTGCAGTTCTTTTCTTAGATCCAAATAAGGTACAAATTGCTTCATCTTTAGTCTCGTATAGAAACCATAAGAGATCCAGTACTAAAGACCATATGGCAACATAAAAGCCAAATGAAATTAGAAGGTGCCAATTTGATTTAAGCAAACCCTCAAAGAACAGAGAGACTGAAAAAACAGAATAATACTCAGCAATAACATATAAGATATATGTTAAATAATATATATGTATCTTTTTAATATATAACTCTTGGTGGAATACGAATCAGCATCTTTCAACACAGACAGTAATAAAGTGTTTTTAATAAAACCGTTGTCAGAATGAAATAGTTTTGTAAGCTGACGGAGTTTAGTGCCAATAATAAATGCTGCATTATTTATTAATGGGTTAGTTATTTCAGTATATTTAACCATGTAGAGTGGCAAAGTTCAGTCATTTGTGAAAAAGATCCTGCTACTCACTTCCTGGTACGCATTCATTTGTATCTGGCTCCTGATCTGCTTTTTGATCTACTCAGAAGAGCAACATTGAGAATAAGTACCATTTTAACAGAAGGAATAATAAGACATGAAAGTAAAGCTCAAATGTCCGTTCCACAACTGAGACTGCAGAATACAGCTGACAGGTTTTCAGCCTGCTTTCATCCATTCCCCAGTGTGACTCTTCATTAGCTTCTTTAGGTCTCCTGTTCAACTAAAAATCCAAGATCCAGACAGGAGATGTTTAGCATCTTTCCTTTAATTCACTAAGCCACAGCATGGAAAATGGGAAAGAGCACTTGACTAGGAGTAATGAAGCTGAGAGTCCATTCCAGGCCTTCCCACTAACTGCCTGCCTATGGAAGTTTAGACAAGTCACCTAGTATCTCTGAGGTTTCCTTATCTGTAAAATGAAGATGAAAATCCCTGCCCCTCAATGAGATTGTTGTAAATATAATAAGAAAAGACAAAATTATTACATAAAAGTAAGGAACTGATTAATGATCTGGAAAAGCTCAGTGAATATACATTTTTATGGATCTAGAGAAGGTGATTTAGCAAAAACAAACAAAACAAGAAAATACAAAAAATCCAGCAGTACCAACATACAAATATGAATTATACATTTGCATAAAAGCAGAACTGTAAAAATCAGATCCATTTTCATATCTCCCCCGACCAAGGCACTATTACTCTAATCATTTCATAACTCATTCAAGTAATACCCGATCCACTGACAAGCTTCAAGATCTTCTGGCCCCTTAATATTCACAATCAAATAATTTCACCTTGGGTTTATACTTAGTATTTGTTCTGAGCAGAGGCAGGATGTCCACCCTTGTTCTGGGACCCTTTCCTGTGAACTTAAGGCTTTGCTAGTTGTGCTCACAGAATCTAATTGCTGAGAACTGAGAATCAAACATAAGAATAACTTAACCCAGGAACTCACTCTACTTTTCTGCCTCTGCAAGGAGTTCTGCAAGTCAGAATGGCAAATATCAGCCCATACCCATAGAAATACAATTTTCTGTTTATAGAAACCCTTGCTTCCCAAGGGTCCCTGGTGAGATCCTCACAAGGTAGCACCAGCAGTAGCCTTAAGAATACAAACAGTTAGTACAAAATGCACCAAGTCAGAGCCATTTTATAATAACTTAACCACCATTCACTACATAGTGGCAAATGACATTCTTCTATTTATCCAACAGCTGCATCCCCGTGGCTGCCCAAATCACCCCAGAATCTAATGCACAGACAGACATACAAACATATAAAGATATTTACCATCTTCAGCACTACGTACTAATTCTTCTGGCAGATTATCTACTTTTGCTTGATCTGTTCAGGAGAAATTAACAAACAGTTAACACAGTTGACACTGGGAGAGAAAGAACAATGAGACTGTTCCTGGAAGCCCCCGGAGCTGGAAGCAGTTAGTCAAGATGCAGTGAGGGATTGCAACCAAGATGTCTTCCCCAAAATACTTTCTCTGTAGATTAGCTACTTGAGCCAGTGCCATACATAGCGGGAGCTCCCATTTCAGCCCAATGCAGCTTACATCAGCACACTGCTGCACACTGACTCCCAAGGGTTAGAGGGTTAGCTCAGAGCAAGCAATCAGCTGGCCGGCAGCAGGAGAAAGCACAGGCTGCAACAGCCTCTCTATTCTTCTGGAAAGGGTAAAATGCTAGCCATGACTAAAACCTTCCCAAGCCCTTGGTCTATTAACAAATATTTGTGTGTGTGCATCATCGTTTGCATATGCCTCTGGGAGGCTTGCTTGGGAAGTCAACTGAAGAGATGTAACTGGGGACCAGCTGCTAAGTGGAATCTTGGCAGGCTAGTGTGAGAGTGGGTATCAGTATTTGGAATACAGCATGCAGGAATACCCATCAGCTGATAGTGGTTTTTTTTTTTGTTTTTTTTTTTAACCCTACACATTCCTGAGTAGTTTAAAGCTGCACCACGGAAATAGTCCCACGCTTCACAGGCAAGAGGTTTGTTAAACGGGGCAATTGTTGCTGAGTTTTTTTCTTCCTCAGGGCCAACATACAGACGAACAATCAGGGCTGTCCAACAAAGGACTGGACTCGCCTTCTCTGGAAGTATTCAAGAGGATGTGGGGGTTGGCCACCTGTTGAGGAGGCTTTAGAGGGAATTCCTGCATTGGGGGGAGGTTGGAATGGGTGACCTTCAAAGTCCCTTCCAATCCTGAGATTCTAAGATCCCTGGGAGGGTTAGGACTGCATTCCAAATCAGCAATACTGTCTTCAGAACCCTGGGAATCTCTATACTGAAGTTGTTTAGTGTAGCGGCTTTTTCTTTTCCTTTTTAAACTCTGACATTTTAGTCTCAATTGCAGATTGATTTAAAAACATTACATATAACATCACAATGTCAATTATCCATCACATGAGTTTGGCACTGGTTAACTTCTGCTCAGTAAATTTTCTCATGACCCTCTGTAATCCCAGGGGTACATTATAGCTTAAAAACAGTAACAACAAAACCCCTAGATGCCATGATTTCTAAGTCTACTTGCTGGGCACACAAGTCCCTATATAATGATGCTTTCTGTTAGTTCTCAAGAAATCCTTCACCAATTAAAGCAGCAGCCAGTGAGGAATAGTGTGCCAAAAGTGCCCTGCGTCAAGGCAGTATTTGGGCGTATAGCTCCAGGATCCAAAAGAAATGTGTCCACAGGAAAGTAGGGATAAAAGAAAACAGAAAGTCCTTTGAAGCCAGGGACTAATTCATTTCCATATCCTGCAAAATTCACTAATAGCGAACACTGTCCACTGTCACTTCACAAATGCTCCTGATAATAGTCTGCTGATCTTGAGTCTCAGTTCTGCAGTGTGACACTAAGCAAATTACTTTACCTTTCTGAGTTTCATTTTCCTCATCTGTGAAATAGGGATAATAATTCATCCTCCAAAGGGTTCTTGTGAGGATTAAATGAGATAATATATGTAAGACACTTAACCAAGTACCTGGCACACAGTACTAAACAAATGTCATTTATTACTAGTAGTATTACTACTCTCACAATCCTTTAAAACTCAATGGACTTGAGAAAACATCCCAACTGGGATTCTTTGATTCAAGCAAGCCCAGTGTTCTAGTAATCAAACCTCATGTTACTTTAAAAGCAAAGTTCCAACCCCTTTAGGGTGAGCCTCTTCAGTTTACTTAGGAAAGGTTATTCTCATCTGCTAACTCCCCCTTTTAGGGGTCGCAGTGCACAACAGCATGCGGTCAGGTCACAGAAGAGTAAGCATTTTTAAGCTCAGATGGGCATGAACAGTGGGGCAATCTTAATTCTCACTTGATGAATCAGATGAAATGTCTTCTAGACTTTTGGAAGTCATTTTCCTAGCATCACTCCTTTCCATAGTTTTCAAAACAGGACTGGTTTCTTCTTCTGAACCTGTTACAAGACAAAACCGATGAACGCTGCACAATACAAAAAAGAAAACCTCTTAACACCCAATGGACACTGAAATCGTAGTTTGAAGGTGGTATCATGCCATAAAACAAAAAAACCCTTTGTCGTTGAGTCGATTCCAACCCATAGCAACCCTATAGGACAGAGCAGAACTGCCTCACAGAGTTTCCAAGGAGCAGCTGGTAGATTTGAACTGCTAACCAAATGAGCTCTTAACTACTATACCACCAGGGCTATTTTTATTTACTGTAAGAAGCATTTACTTCACAGAAGAAAATAAAATTTCTCCACTATTAGTATGTTCTTTAAAAAAATGAAAGATCATTTTCCTGGTCAAGGAATATTTTGCAAACATGAAATTCATATAGGAATAAGATTGCCACATTAACAGAAATGTGATTCCTTAGATGTCTGTGCATCTATTTTAGGCACATGATTTTTCTATGCCAGACTTTAAATCTTCCCACTTAACATACCAGCTTTAGAAGAGAGTCGTGAAATGATTTTAGGGGCATTATAAAAAATTAGCTGAAAACCATGGAAGAAAAATTCAGATGTTTAACATCTGTGTATAATAGAGTATAGCGGGTTCTCCAGATCAACAGATGTAGGCTTTTTGGGTCTCATGACCTAGTAAAAATTTCCAACAAATATGCTGAGAAATAACATGGAGAAAGCCTTTTTAAAAACCTTAAACCAAAATAGCCCCTGAAGTCATCTTAAAACTGAACAACAGCTTAGCTTAACTAGTAAAAAATGTCTGCCTTGGGCATTACACTCTTTTAAGAACTATCTATGTGGGATCAAAGTAACAATAGGAACTTGAAAGATCAGATAGGAACAATAGGGGGCAGTGAGTTTATATTAATGAGGAGGGAACAACTTGAAAAATGTAATGAATGTCACTGAATTGTACATTTAGAAACTGTTGAACTGGTGTATGTTTTGCTGTGTATATTCTCAACAACAAAATTAAAAAATTAAAAAATGAGGAAAACCCTATCATCTACTAATGCCTTTATTTTACCAAAGTAAAGGCATTTTAGAACCAAAAAAAAGAAAGAGGAAGGCAATGGATTTTCTGTGTTCAAGTTTAAGAGGTTTCTTACTGCAGACCTTCTCAGAGACCTTAATATGCTAATAAATGTACATTATCTCCTAGCACTTCCAAAACTACTGGAACGCAGATTTTTTCTTTTTTTAAGGAGCTCATTTAGTATTGGTTGGTTAAGGGTTAAGCCTCAAGTCAGACATGTTTAGCTTGTTCACCAAAATTATGGTACCCTCATAGTTAGGTTCCTTCCCTGGCTTTACCCACTCCTCCCATTGACTGTTTTAAACTAATACAGGTTAAAAAATACACTGCTGTTTTGAGTCGATTCCGACTCATAGCAACCCTATAGAACAGAGTAGAACTGCCCCACAGGGTTTCCAAGACTGTAATCTTTACAGAAGCAGACTGCCACAGCTTTCACCCGCAGAGGAGCTGGTGGGTTCAAACTGCCAACTTTTTGGTTAGCAGCTGAGTGCTTTAACTACTGTACCACCAGGGCACTTAGAGGATATAAAAATCATGTCTATACCATTTTGTATCTCTTACTTGGCTTATAATTTTAAAATCCTTTCTCTGGCTCTATCTGAGTGGTTATTTAACACTGATTATTTCATTTTTAGATAGCCTTTTTGCTGTTCAATCAATTATGCTGGTATACTATAAATATGGCTATAGACATTAGGCAACAGTCTCCAAAGTAAGTGCAAATTGGCAAGCCCTCCTCTTATCGGTCAGTTTACTTTAGTAACTCATGGGGTAGTTAAGAAGAGTCTATGTACCTCAACAAGTTTAACATGCTAGCTTATACTTTTACATGTATCTGATTTCAGAGACTAGAAATAGTATTTCACTTTTCTTTTCTTACCAGCAAGGTTTGTTAAAGAAGGTTAAACTTGACTGGGATTAAAGGTTAATTCTTTAGACAGTTTTTAAGAATTAGGCCTAGCAGCTACTTACAAGGGAACCCAAACCCCAGAAATCAGCCACTCAGTAAAGCGTATCTGTTCTCATTGAAACCAAAGGGAGCTAGAAAATGGCAAACAGGAAGAAAATGACAACAATAAGGAAGGTGATCGACAGTGGTAGTTACACAACTTTGGTTAAAATGTCCTGGCTAGAAAGCATCCTCTATCATTTCATCATTCTAATCAGGTAACTTCTCATTTCTATTTGTTCCCGGGTTTCTCTGATAAAATACCCAACTGCTGATCAGAATAGCAAACAGACCAACTCTGTGTTTTATAACCTGGCTGAAACCAGCACCCCAAGTCCACTTAGATGAATGTGGTAACCGAGAGAGAGAGAGAGAGACAGAGAGAGACAGAGAGAGAGACAGAGAGAGGGACAGAGAGAGACAGAGAGACAGAGAGAGAGGCAACAAAAACACCACAGAATAAGGTATCTGAGGGAAAGTTCCTCAACTTTGTCCTTGGCATTTAGCTATCAATGGTTGCTATGAGTCAGAATCCACTTGACGGCAACAGGTTTGTTTCGTTTTGGGGTGGGGGGGTGAAATATTGCTCCTAAAAGGGGAATTTTGTGACCATTTGTAGCACCTTTTTTTGCCACAAATCTTACTGGAGACTTCTATGTAGACTGCCAACTAAGAAGGAAATTCTCATTATTTCCAGGAGAAAAACTAGCTTGAATGTTTCAAAAGTGCTTTCTAATCCCAAAAAGCCTTAAAAATATTTTTGAAACCTGAAAATTCTATTGGTACATTAATGAAAAATAAGATCAGACTCTAAAACACAGCTTTGTGGTAAAGCTGTCTCTATGTTACTCATCTGATTGAAGAATACAAAATGAAATGTACTTTTTTAAATTTATAAAGGCTCAGAAGAAGTGAAGTTGTAAGAATTTAGCAACATCAGGGAGTGCCAAATTAATCCCAATTAAAAAAATATATCATTCATCAGCATTCCAAAAAGTAGACTCATTAATCAACGGATTAAAAATTTCAAAATGCTCACTGGAGGTATTTCTCCAGCTTTCTGCATTAGAGCTGATGTTTCCATCTGAAAAATCAGAGTTAGAGAAATCTTTTTCTTCTTTGTCTTGTTTCTTATATGGTGATGCCAGAAACAGCACAACTTTACTTGCTTTTGTAGAGCTTTCTCGGTTCATCAGAAGAGAAATGGGTTGCCTATTTTGGGACACACTAATGGTTTCAGGAGGCTCTTGGAAGCCATGCTGCTGAAAATTCCCTTCTCTTCCTGTAACCTCACTTTCCCTGTCTCTTTCCTCTAGGGAGTATACAGTTTCAATGGTCCCTATTTCACAGTCCACATAATGTTGTGGGGTTCCAAAGCGTTCAACCCCACTTTCAGGACCATAGAGATCTACCGATAAATCAGTCATGGCTTTATCTCCTCTCAACTCTTTATCATACTGGTTGACTTGAGATTTCAAAACACTACTCTTAACCTTCGTTTCAGAGGCCTCTGAGGCTGTCCAGTAAAAATGGGGCACTGTACCCAAGAACTTGGCCTTCTCTGACTGTGAGGGCTCCTTCTCAGGAGTTTCTTCCTTCACTGACATCTGGAAATGATAAGGAGCTTCAGATACTTCTTTAAGGAGTCTCTCTAAACCAATATCAAAGGCACTCTCAGTTATTGATGGAGCCTCAGATTTTTCTACTGTTTCTTTTATTTCCTCAGGATGAAATTCAGAAGCAGCTCGCCTGGGCTCCTCAGTACTACCTATTAACTTTGATGCAGAAAGAGTCCCTGTATTGCTTTCATATTTTGAGCGGGAGTTTTCAATTACTTCCTCCAGCAGTTTTTCTAAGCCAGCACTGAACGCGAGGAGTTGTGATTTGGGTTGAATAACTGTTTCCCTCACAATTTCTGCCACTTCCTGAGGTGGCTCTTTGCTATACAGAGCAACAGTGGAACCAGATGAGCTAAGGCTCTGTTTTGATGGAGACATTTGAGCCACTCTGTCTGTTGGCGCATCAGATCCAATTTCGTGGGTTTTATCAGGAACTAAACTGAAGGAACAAAAATCCTTTCTGTCTAGAACTATGGTTGTAGTTCCTGGTGTGATAACTCCCAGAGAAATTTGGGGTCTACCTGCTGCCTGTATTCCTTCAGGAAATTCTACTTTCACTTCTCCAGGGACTATTTCCCTCCCAGATGAATAATTCAACTGAGCTTCTCTAAGTAGCTTCTGTAATGCAGCATTTATATCATTCATTGCAGTTTTCGGTGGAAGAAGGACTTTTTCTACAGTTTCTGAAATTTCCCTTTGAGAAGGCAGTGCCCTATCCTGCGGAGCAAGATGAGCATCCTGGGAAAAAGGCGTATCTTGGGGAGATGTGGCCTCATCACCAAAGGAACCCTTTCTGTGAAGATAAGAAGCTTCTGCAGCCATCTGAAGCAAGTTCTCTGTATTTAGCTGGCACTCACCACTCTGAACTTTTTGGGGGACAGCTGCATTTCCTGAAGACTCTTCCTCCTCTGGAAAAGGGGCTATTATCTCTCTCTCTTCTGAAGTGTTGTGACTCTGTTTCACCACTTTTTCAAAAAACCTACTCTCTTCAGGCGCAGAGTTGGTTCTGGTGGTAACAGGTTCCAGCTTGGTTTGCAAGGAAGAGAGTGGAATTTCAGATGCTTCCTTTAGGAGTTTGTCTAGACTAGCAGTGAAAGTGTTACGTTCAACCTTTGGAGGAACTACTGTTTTATCTATGTGCTCACTAATGATCTCTTTAGGTTGTCTGGCTTCTTCCTCAGCATCAGCCAAATCTGTCTCTTGAGGCCATGCTCTACTTTCAGAAAAACCTGGTTCAAGCTCTTGTTTTACATGAACTTTTCCACCAGAAGTTTGGACTGCTGGTGATGATGCTTCTGCAAGCAGCTTCTGTAGGCTGCCATTAAAAGTGTCTTTGTAATCTTTATACAAAACACTGGTTTTCACTACGGACTCTTCAACCTCTTGGTCCGAGTCATCTTTTTCTTTCTTGATTACTGGAGTAACAAACCATTCTGTATTCTTTTCCATGTTTTCCTTTGATGACTCATTTCCTGGTAACTGATGAATGGATGTTCTGGGTGGTCTCCATGGAAGTGTGGTTTCGTCTGGTAGCACCTGGGGTATGCACTTTGAATTTAATGTCTCCATTTCCTCCCTTGTCGTAACTTTTTCATGGCTTAGAAGCACCTCTATTTCATGGGTATTTTTTCTAGATGATTTAATGTCATTGGATTCCTTGTGTTTCTGGCTATTAAAAGGCACAGAATTTTTATCGCTTATTGTGGTACTTTTCTTCTCAACATTAGACTCATTGTCTGAATCAGCTCCTAAGTTCCAAAATTTTCTCAAATTTTCAAACTGAGAGTGATTATAGACCTGTTCTGTGTCATTTTCATCCATTCTTTCTTTTAGGGGCAAAACTTTAAAGTTGAGTTTTGATTCACCAATTAGAGAGGCATTATTCTCCAAAGGAGTATGTATTTCATCGCCATCATTTAAGGGATGCTGCAATGCCAGTGAAGGAATGTCCCTTCCAGAATGCAAACTGTCTGCCACTGGCAATTTTTTTATAGGCTCATTTATGTTGGATGTTCCTGATTTTGGGAGCCTGGTCTCTTTAGGTTTGTTTGAGGAATAAAAACTGGAAAGACGGGATGCTTGATCGTCCTCATCTAGGACCACTTGTTTGGCAGTGACTTGATTATATTCACTCTGGCCTGTAGATAAATTGTTGGTGAGCCCACCCAGTGACTTCACAGGCTGACAGGCTTTAGCAGGTTTTCCCTGGCTGCATGAAGATGAGGGTTTTTTGTAAGTTAACTCGGCAGCAGCTTTTTTTCCTTCCCAAAAGGATATTCTATCACTCACTCTTTTGTATTTCTCTCTTTGCACTTGGTTCTTGGGAAGCTCATTAGCTTCTTGTAGTTCGACCTCAGGCTTCTTCCAAGGAGATTCACCTTTGGCAGCCCCAGGTGGCAACTTGATATTCTCTGCCTCTATGGAAACTTTCAGAATGTTATTTCCTCTTTTGCTCCTTCTCTCTGCTTTCATGTTGTCTTTCAAACTTGGTTCTTTGACAACTGCTGAAGAGTTAAAATTCACTTCTGACTTTCCTCTATTTTTTCCATGGACACAAAGCTTGGACTCTTCTTCATTCATGATGCCAACATCTGTTATGTGGCATGGAACTTGGTCTTCTGTGTTGGATCCTTTGAGAGCACTATACGAATAGTTGCTGGCTGGGGGAGAAATCCCGGTTCCTTCGCCTGTGCTTTTTGAACTTAGGCTATGGTCTACATTTTTACTTCCTTGACTTGTACCATAGCTTTCAAATGGTTGCAATATGCCCCGGCCTTCCTTCGGGGTGCCTTGTTGGGACAAATTCATGGATTTCAATTTGATATTCATATCATCATCTTGGTAATTTCCAGCAGGTAGCAGATCTCCCTCTACCTGGAATGCTGAATCAGATCCCACAGGCTTCAATTCAACTTGGGTGGAAGATAGGGCCTTTGAGCCATTTTCTTTTAGACTTGTGTCATCTGTCACCAAGGCAACAGCAGTTTGTGATTTTAAGTCTGTTTTTTCTTTGGGCTCTATTCCGCTGGGATGTTTGAGGGATGAATTATTGTCATCTGAATGAGAGCTTCGATTAAACCAGTCTAGGACTTTAGATATGGAATCATCAGTTGTCTTCATTATCTCAGTGGCATATGGACCAGAGCGTGAGGAAGTCTTAGCTTTTAGGGCAGTGAGAAGGGGAAGCTTACCTTGCTGATGGTCTCTAGTACTGCGATCTGGCACCTGAGGTGGCTCAGGCACAACACAATGAGACAGTTCATCTGCAACATAGAAATGCTTTTCTAAATAAGAAAAGAGAATGCTTAAAGAATTATTATTCAGTCACTCAAATTATCTTTAAAAAAAGTATATTTTATTTGCACTTTCATATCACTAGCTGTTTATATCACCATTTCTCAGAGATTATGATTTAAATTGTAGGTATTCTACCAAAGGTGCACTATCACAGTAAAGAAAGGTAAATGTGGATTCCTGGAAGTATGGGATGTCGGTCTAATTGGGAAATTTCTTTGAAGTTCCTGGTTAATTTTAAACATTCATATGAATTTTGCATTATGCTCCATGTTGCATCTTAAAATATTCACTTTAATCTGCTCTCAAATCTCTTAATAAAACTGACAACCCATGAAGACATACCATGTTGACTCTATAACTTCGCCCATCCCTAGGCACACTGTTGTAAACCCCAAAGCGGACTTATACCAAAATTTGAGAAGCACAGACTTAGGTGATTCAGGAGTTGGGAAAATGACTTTCAAGTATGACTAACAAGGCATTCTCTCCAGAAAATCTGAGTGGGGTGATTAGGATATTTATATTCCTGGGGCTGACTCCTGATATACTATATCAAAATCTATCAAGATGAAGTCCAGGAATCTATACCATCCTAGTAGCTGTTTTACACACTGGAATTTGAGAACCATGATCTCAACAGGCCCCTCCATCAACCCTCTTTCTTTTCTACAGTTCTTAAGTTATAAGTTGTTTCTGCGAGCCAAATTCAAACCAAAATGAGGACTGATGGAGAATGTGATCTCTACCTGTTCTCTAATAGTTAACTCATGGCTAAGAGGCTAGAAAAGATACTTAAGTTCTTTCTAAGCTATCAAGAAATCAGAGAGAGTCCTTCTGAGCCTTGATCACAGGACACATAACACACCACTTGAGATCAAGGAAGTGAGAGGTATTCCCCCCCTTTAGTTAAAACTCAGGTGTTTCAGCAACTCTCTCTTCCTTATAAATGCTAAGCTATGCAATATAGGCACAGAAATATTCCTGAAAACTGTGTGCGCTGAGTTTTTATGAAGTCAGCCACATTTCAAGTGCACTAGGGGACACATCAGCTAATAAAACTCTATCTTTAATTTTAATCAGCAACTCTGGCTAAATGTGAGAACAACAAAAGCTTACGTAAGACTTGGCACATAGTACATATTGGTTTCCTTCCTTAACTACATATTGTACTATTAGATATATACCAATAGTCGTGGAGTACCTTTTGGAAATCTTTAAGAATTGCATGTTAGTTTGTTTAAAGAATATGATGGAATAAAATGTTTGTGATATACTGTTAGTGAAAAAAGAAATCTGGGCAGTATAATCACAATTTAAAAAATAAATTTATGCTTAAAAATTACTGGAAGGCTCCACCACTCAATGTTAGCAATAGTTAATGACGGTGATGACACCACAGATGATTTTTGTTTTATTCTATGTGTTTCTTCCTTTAAAATGTTTTACAATGAAAGTGTATTTCTCTTAAGAACAAAGTTATTTTAAAAATTCATTGCCAGGTAATGTTTTCTTTCCTAAGAGAAATTCTTTTGTGTGTGTGTTCTTGTCTGATAATGAGTAGGATATTGGCTGTCCTGAAGTTCAGAGCAGAAGTCATACCCTTATGATTTGCACATTTACCATGTTTTTGGTTCTGGTTTTCTATTTATGTTCCATTACATAATTGTATATATTTTGTGGCAAGCAGGGCATAAATGAATAAGCAAAACTTCGTTTATGAGCACTCTCTGAGATCAGAAGGGTTGTCAGTCAATCAAAATGGATTTAGCTGATGCCTATTTTCTGAATTTAATGGTCAGGTTGGGATTAAAAAAACCAGAAAACACAAGTAAGCAGTTAATACAAAATTATAAAGAGGGAAATCAGGTGCAGTTTGAAAAACAGGAGAGGTTTGTCAATCTTTTTCTATCGATTATAAAAAGGGGAAATATCACCAAAGAAAAACAGTTTTCATCTTGCAAATAAATGTTTACGTAAACATCATCCAATCATTGGCTAATGTTTACTCAAACTTTAGTAATTTCCTATAATATGACTTGCTTATTTCTTGAAAAAGAATCTGCTACTTTTTTATTAAAAAAAATTTTTTTTTCTGTTGTGTTCAAATGATTTAAAATGCCCCAGGGCAGGGTGCGAGGGGTTGGGGGAAGGGGTTGGGAAGGTGGTCCAAGATGGCAGAGTAGTCAAATGCTTTGTGTTGTTCCTCTAACTACACAAGACCCCAAAAAACAAGTGAATCAGGTATATATAACAATTCAGGAACCCTAAGCATCAAAGACAAGGCCGAAGAATTGGACTGAGTGACAGGTGGAAGGAGAGACAATTCAAAAACAATGGAAATGGAAAATTACAGATTGCTGGTGTCCTGCTAGTCAAACCTGCACAGTGATGACATGCTGAGTCAAGCCAGCAGCATTCCCAGCCAAGACCCACCCCACCTGGTGCAGCTAAGCAGGAGAAACTCTGCATGTACCTCCAGAGCAAGCCAAGAGCGCTGCTGGCCCTGAGAAAGTTAAGTGCCTACATCCAACCCACCACGTGCACCCCAGGCCCCCGTGCTAGAGCTCCATGGGCCTGAGGGGCACTCCCAGCCTCCTCACTCATCCCCTCTCACCACTCGTGACTACTCCAGGGGCCTTCGACCCACCACGCCCACTAAGCTTCGAGCTCATGGCACCATCCGGAGGCCCTCACCCCTTCGCCCAGCCACCAGTGCCTGGATCCACAGGTTTGCAGCACCTTCTACCTGCTCTGATTACCCATGCCAGCGCCTTGCTGGCCAAGCCAACACAGCATGGCTAGACTGGGTCAAGGCGGGCAGCATTTCCAGCTGAAGCTCACTTCACCTGCCGCAGCTAAGTGGGAGTGACTCTGCACAAGTCAGGGGCCAGACAGGAAGGCTTCTAGCCCTGTGAAAGTTAAGTGCAGGCACCCCTCATACTGTGCACACACGAGCCCCCCGTGCCAGAGGTCCAGGGGCCTGGGGGGCACTCCTACCCTCCTCAAACATTCCCTTTCCCCTCTCACAGCTGCAGTCCTGTGACATTCTACAGCATCCCACCCTCTAAGCCAGGAGCTCTCAACCTAGTCTGCAGGCACCTGCCTCTTCGCCCAGCCACTGGCATAAGGCGTCCAAAGTCTTGCAGCACCTTCTGCCCCCTCCAGTCACCTGTGCTGGTGCCCTGCTGGCCAAACCTGTACAGGGTGGCCATACTGAGCAAAGCAAATAGCATTCCCAGCTGAAACCCACTCCACCTAGTGCAGACAAGCAGGAGCGACCCTGCACTAATGGCCAGAGCCAGGCAAGAGTGCTTCATGCCCTGCAAAAGTTAACTGCACCCACCCTATTCACTGAGCACAACCCAGCCCCAGTACTGGAGGGTCTGGCGGGCACTCCAACCTGCCTCACCCATCCGGCACCCCACCCCCACCCCCGAATGCCCCTGTCCCTGGTCTGTGGCTGCAGCCTGGCAGCATTCATCACTGCCCTGCCCCCGAGATGGGAGCTCAACCACCCACGCTGGGGGCCTAAGGGCCAGCAGAACTTCCACATTCCATCCAGCTGCCCGCACCAGGGGCCTGAGGACTAGTGGTGCCCGCCAATCCGGCCAGCCAATGACACTGGGTACCCAAGGACCAGCTATACAACCTCCTTCACAATGTGCTGTAGCGGACGGGGGCACACCCCTAAACCAGGCACCCAGGGGCAGGCAACATCCCCCCTGCCTTGCTCCCTGCAATGCCCCCCCTCCAACCAGAGGCTTGTGCACACTCCAAACCATCACGCAGCCCCACCCACCCGGGACTGTCAGTGAGTCTCTGTACCACCAAGTGGTGACCAATGACCCAAGCACCTTCGCCCTGACCAACTGGTAAGCAGCAGAGCATACACACAACACCCAAACCAATGAACAGGGAGAACACCTCCAGCACCCAGACGAGGTGACCATCAGGACAAATAAATCACCTCACCAAAAACGTCACCTACATCCTCAGCAGTCCCACAAGACAAGCAAACAGGGACCTGTGCCCACATACCCAGTTGCTGCTCTACCCACCCGGAGACAGGAGTTGAGAGCTTCAAAGTGGACAGATTAGCAACCGGAGTAGCACACATGCCCAGCCTACTCAGATATATCTAAACAACACAAAAATTCAGGACACAGCAAACAAGCATACAATAAATAAATACAATAACTTCTTGATGCCTTGAAGACAAAAGACAATATCAAATCACATAAAAAGAAGTAGGATTAGGTGGCTCCAGCAAGTGACTAAAATAAAGAACCAGAAAACCTTCTGGAGGAAGATAAGGCAATGGAATCACCTGATAAAGAATTCAAAAGACTAATTAATGTACAGAGCTCTCCAAGCGATCAAGAAAGAGATCAGGGAAAACACAGACAAAATGCAAGAACACAAAGATAAAGCAACAAAAGTGTCACAGATTGAACTGTGTCCCCCAAAAATATGTGTTGTCAATTTGGCTTGGCCATGATTTGATTCCCAGTATTGTATGACTGTCCACCATTTTGTCACCTGATGTGATTTTCCTATGTGTTGCAAATCCTACCTCTACGATGTTAATGAGGTGGGATAGGCGGCAGTTATGTTAATGAGGCAGGACTTAATTTACAAGATTGGATTGTGTCCTGAGTCAATCTCTTTTGAGATATAAGAGAGAGAAGTGAGCAGAGAGACTGGAGGACCTCATACCACCAAGAAAGCAGCACTGGGAGCAAAGTGCGTCCTTTAGACCCGGGGTTCCTGCACGGGTTACCAGTACTGTGTGGTTGTCCTCGATTTTGTGATGTTAAAGAAGATTAGGGTAGGACTGCAACACCCTTACTAAGGTCACATCCCTGATCCAATGTAAAGGAAGTTTCCCTGGGGTGTGGCCTGCACCATCTTTTTATCTTACAAGAGATAAAAAGAAAGGGAAGTGAGCAGAGAGGGGGGACCTCAT